TAACATATATATACATATATATATATATATCATTAAAGAAATAAGTAAACTAACCTTACACCTCAATTGAATAAGTAAACTAACCTTACACCTCAACTCAATGGAGGAATTAGTATTGTATTACTTACATTTAAAAAAAAAAAAATTAGGAAAAGCTTTTCCTGGAGTAATCAATTAATTATAAGCTTTCTGTGACATGCCAAAAGATGATCCTGCTCAAGAATGCTTCATGATAAAGTACAGACTAAGTCTAATGTTGCATTTCTTTATGTAAGCCACTTGGTCATAAATTTTCCTAATTTAATACTGCAAATGAGTCATATAATACAATGAATCCTCTTTAATGTAAAATTCTCAATTTAACATTTAAAACTTATCGGTATGGCAATCAATTAACTAAAATATTTTTTAAACAATAAATTGAACACCTAACTGAAGTTAACTTTTTTTTTTAATGTTTGAGAGAGAGAGACAGACAGACAGAGCACAGCAGGGGAGGGGCAGAGAGAGAGGGAGACACAGAATCCGAAGCAGGCTCTAGGCTCTGAACTGTCAGCACAGAGCCCGATGCTGGGCTTGAACTCACGAACTGTGAGATCATGACCTGAGGTGAAGTCAGACGCTTAACCAACTGAGCCACCCAGGTGCCCATGAAGTTAACTTCTAATACAGCAAAAACAATCTCTTTGGTCACGTGACTTCAATGCTGATTTGTACTAAAATTCAACTACTGTTCCACAAAAGATGGTACAATGAAAGGAAAAAGTTTAAAGGCAGCTCCCAGTTCTGCCAATGGCAGCATGGCTGAATCATTTAACATCTTCGGAACTCAACCTTAACTTTAAACCTCAAATTTGTAGTAAATAATCTCTGAAGTCTTACAGAGCTCTCACATTCTAGGATTCTACGAATCCACCATTTCTGCCAATCTTCAATCCGTGCTTAGAATATAAGGCAATCTTACTGTAGTAATGTTTCTTCCTCTTTTTTCTCTGAGAAAAGGGCAAGCAAGGACTTTAAGATCTCTCACAGAAGCTTCCATCATCTGTTCAAGTTTGGAGGTTGACATAGACAGGTTACACTGGAATGAGGCTGTCAGAGCAGGAGCATCAGCCTTTGTCAGATTGGCAACAAATACCACTTCTGGATCTGTGATCTTGGCCTTTAAAGTCATATTTGGTCTTACAGAGTCATCTGAAAAAACAAAAAAAGCAACCAAAAAATATGTCACAAAATATATCTTGTCACTTGAGTATATACTATCTATAAGTTGCTAGGTTGTTTCTAATATCTTGCTATATGGGATATGGCAGAATTAACCGTAGTTGACGAATACTAATGATAAATTATTAACAAATGCTGATTGTGCGGGATAATGCAATCTGATCTCTGACACAACATCATTTCCACTTTGACCTAGCAAGAATAATCTCGTTTTGAAGTTGGTTTTGTCTGAATTAAGGTGTGTGCACATATGAACACATGAATGTGTTTTATGTTACATTGCAGAGACAGGAGGGGAAAACAGGAGAGGGTAATAACAGGAAGAGGATAAGAGACTCTGATAAAGTTGACTCTGACTTCACTATAAAACACATAATCAGTGTCCTACAATCTATAGGATTAATACATTAACTATGTATATGAATATAGAGATATATAATTACTGTTTAGGAAAGGTAAATGAAAAAATAAAATTCTGACCTTGCCAGTGAATGGTATTTTCCAATCTTGCTGAATTATGCATTAGAAAGATAAATGCCTGACCTGAGACAATTATAATTTAACAAAGAAAATCACTGATCTACTTGGTAATGCTAGAGTAATTTATAGAGCAGGGAAGTGACTTCGGTGTACATCAAGACCAGACATTTGCACACACTCCCCTTAGTTTAAGGTGTTTATGGTGATGTCCAGGGGCATCATGCTGGGTGGTCCAATATCACCTTCTGCCTCTATCTGTTCAACTGCTTCAATGGATATAATTCTTCCATATATTTTCTCTGAATAAAAGACTGCCCTTCTATAAGACAGTCTCCCAACCAAAGACCCAGATTAACTCCCTCTATTTTTGGGTAAGTAAAGAAATGTTAATGGCAGAGTTGGAACCAGAACAGGGGTTTCCTAGCCCCTAATCCAATATATATTTCTATTCTACCTCTTAAAAATTTATGCTTACTAAAAGTTTTCCACAGTATATATTTAAATTGGAAAGAGTATTTTACTTTCTTGAATTGTCCATTCATCTTTTTTCTTGTAATCTTTGTTAAAATATACAACAAGCTGTCATCTACAACAGATAAATTCTACTAACCTTTCTCCATCTTGATTTTTGCTGTGGCTGTCTGTCGTAGTGGAATCTGTGCTTCTTTTGCCATATTTTCTGAATTCTGAGACACAGCTTTGATAAAGAAATCTGCCACAGTCATCAGAAACTCCACGCTGGCACATACATACAGCTTGTCAAGAACAGCATCAACATGACTTCCATTTTTGCTTTGTTTGTAACTTATATCAATCATAGAACTGTTGTCATCTTGATCATTCCTTTTATCAATCATTCTAAAAAATATATACATTATTTTATTCTTGCAAAAATAATTTAAAAGATGAAAAATTTCCTATACACCTTAATAGTCTTTGTTTCACCTTTGAGTTTTTAATCTGAACAGAAAACAGGTCAACGTTAACTGGGGTCTAATCAGCTAATTAGGAACTAGGACATAGTCTCCTAATCTCTATAGCAAGATCCATGTTTTTAAGCAATTACAGATTATTTTATAATTATAATACAGTAGCAGGAAAATAAATGAATGACTACTAAAAGGAATTAACAAAACACATTAATGTGGTCCCACAAAATTTAAAGGTCAATCTCTTTACATTAGTTTACAAAATAAAACCTCCCTGAACAAATTTATCTCCAAAGATCATCCTATATAATTTGAGTCCAAAAGTATTCAATCCAATTCAAATCAGCCAGTGTTTATCAAGTGTCTGCAGTGATAGGTGCCACATATCCTCACACATGCTGGGAAGAACAGGTTACCAAACAGATGATGGCCTTACCCTTGCCTATATAGTAGCGGACAGCTACCGCAAACACGAAATTTGCAAACTAGAAAACCTGGTTGCATGATAGCACTCTTTCCTCATTTATTCATCTCTAGGAAACACAAAGAGCTCAGAAGTATCCAGTATGTATTCAATGGAGCCCCTGGTTAGGGAGCAGCATAGTTTTTCTCCAAAGAATATCAAGGGCAAAAAGAGTATGTCTCAATATTTGAGAAAGGAATAAATATATAATTAGAATATTAAAGTTACATTATTTCCCACTTTACAGGAGGCTAATATAAACTAATGTTTAAGTACTGGCTTGATAATGTGAAAATGCTAGGGATTACATTTCTAGTAAAACTTGGAAAAAATTTCAGAATAGTGGTTTAAAATATACAGACAAAACAAGTAAGACAAAGAAAAGATCAGAAACTTTCAGGCTTTTTTTTGGAAGAAAAAAAAAAAAGAACCTGCCTTTTGGGGACAATTTAGAAAACTATGTTACCAACAAACCACCCTATGTGAATTTCATTATTAAAATTCTTACATTCTCTTAGTTCCTGCTTTTAAGACAGTACTCCATTTTATTATTAAATTTCCCTTTAATTCAAATTTCATAGGAACTGAATCTGATATTAGCACTATTTATTGATGCACTTCAAATTGAAGTATGACCAAAGATCTCTTTTGATAATCCCAAGCCTAGCAACCAAATGTCAGGTATAATGTCAGCCTTAAATAACGTACAGCAAGTTCAGAGATGACAAACCTTGATGTTGCTCTCTCAATGCCTTCTCTGAGATCGTCAAGTGTGCATGTCTTAAGTTTAAGGCTAACATTCATTGAGCCATCCTTAAACATCTTCCCTACAGAGGCCATAAGATGTAGTCTGAGTTCACCAAGCCGGAAACTGTCATTGTGAAATGAAAGTTTGGATTCCTGTGGTGTATTTTCAAGCAAAAGAATCAGTATCTCTAAATATTATGTAATGACTTTTAAACACATTTCTTAACTCAGAGACAAAAGGCAAACTGATACAACAAAATTTAGAAGCATGGGTGTTAAAACACAAGAATAAAACAGAATAATACATGTGTTTGTAAGTGTATATGTACATATAAAAAATACATGTGTTGACATTCAACAATGGTTAATATATAAAAATTTATCTCACAGTTCAATGCAAATAAAGATATTCAGGAAATGTTTTTGTCAATCAGTCTAACTAATAAATATTTAATTAAGTCTTCTGTTAAAAACAAAAACAAAAACAAAAAACAAAAAACACCGTGAAAGGAACTATGGGGTTTATGAGAAAGGATAAAATATAGTAGGTGATCTCAGCAAGCTTATACCCTAATAAATATAGAAAATAGAAACACACTATAACAAACATGACAAGGAGATGCTGTAGACTGTAAATGATCAAAGACTGACATGTAGACACTTATTTATTCATATTTAATCCCCCCATATTCCACAAAGAATATTAAGTGATTAGGTAAAGAGTACAAATAGCAAAACTCAGAAGGTCAAAGAGATCAGTGGTGGGCTCAGAAAAATTCAGAAAGAAGATGATAACTGAACTGAGCCTCAGAGACTAAGCGGGATCAGATGGGGTAAGAGGAAGGAGAAGACATTCCAGATGCGGAAAAAAACACGAGTAAACAATTCAGAGATGCTATAAGGGTACAAGGTACTAGCTGCTTAAGTTTGAATATTTCAATTAAAGAATGGTAGGGAATGAGGGGTGGGAAGAAATACAGGGGCCTAATGAGGTTCCCACTTCCCAAACTAAAGATTTAAACTTTCATTAACAGGTAAAAGGATCTCAATCTTTAATTGTAACACATTCTGCAAATTCTAAAGGTATGCCCACATCCTGCAAATTCTACATCTAAAGGTATGTAACACATCCTGCAAATTCTAAAGGTTAAATATACAACCACCCCCCAAAAAGAAGGAAAAAAACAAAACAAAACAACTAACAAAAATCTCTTTAGGAAAGTGAAGTCCTAATTGCTCACTATAGACAATGGCATTGATATAAGAGGTATTGGTGATGTGCAATTCCTGGTACATTGGTTATAACTACATCCATCACTCAAGACGGTACATTGTATGCACGTGGGTCAGACATTGACATTATTAATGGCAATTTTGGAATGTAAGTTATAAAAATGTAAATAATTCACAAGCTTCTGGTCTGTAACTATGAACAGAAATGACCTGTGACACACCTACTGATCACAATATACTAGTACAGCTACTAATGTAAACAATTTGGAGTGACTGAACTTTTTTTAATAAGGTACAATTCAGACAACCTAATACCGAATGTTTTTTAGTAGAGTAAAAAGTTATAAACGGCTACATGAAATTCATTTAGGAAAGTGAACTTGTGCCAATGTCTGGTATGGATGAGAGGAAAAAGAGCAACGAACAAGGAAGCCATTACAGTAAGGGTAAGCTAAGAAGTTTCAAATAAAGTAGCAGTGAGAAGTATCAGGAAAGAACAAAGAAAAAAATGGCAATACTCAGTGTCGAATGAATAAAGGTCAAATAAAGAAGGAAGTAAAAGAAAATATCAACATTCTAAGGCTGGGGCACCAGTAGAATGATGGTACCTTAAGTGCAATGAAGAATACATTTAACTATTCATTTCCCATAGGTCATGTTTTTTATTTTTTCATTAACATTAAACATTAGAAATGAAAGTAGTTTACTGCATAAATGACAGACACTAGCCCAAGGCTCAAGAGCAATATGAATAACTTAGATAACAATTTGAAACATAAGATAACATGAATGGACAATAACAACAGACATAATCAATGCAAATTGTGGGTATTATAATATGATGTATTTATTATGAGTATTATGATATTATGTAATTGATATAATAAAATTATTTATTGAAGATACTATCTATATAACAACAAATAGCTTTCTAAAATAGCACTGGTACATTAATTACTTCAAATCATGGCACTATACTTGGTTCTTGTATCCACTAATCGGTATCAATACAAATCTATTACATATAAAATTTATTTAATAGAAACATAATTAATGCTTTTATATCCTGGATAATCATGAATTTTAAAAGAATCCTCCAAGGTTCCAAAGCCACTACTAAATTATTCTTATACAGCTATATATGTACACATTTATAGCTATGTAACAAAATTACACATATAATTAATTACTCACATATAAAATTCTTCTACTAGAGATGGACCTAAGTAGTTCAGGGCTAATGTTACCAAAAGAAGTAAAAATTTTTCCTTAGCTAAGATTAGAAATACTAACAAAGTGAAGACAGAGCAAGACCAATGGATATTCTGTAGGCCAAATAAGAGTTTAATAGACATATTAATTTTTTAATTAATTTTTTAATTCAAATGAAAAAATGCCAATGTTTTAAAATTAAATATCAATAACTGAAGATGTATTTCTAAATAAATTTACTACATACCTGGTTTATATCATTGTTATAAAGGACAATGGAAAGAGATTCAAAGTGAAAGTCAAATTGGAGAGTGACATTTTGGTCCACAGAAAGCTTTGAGTCTGTCATATCTTGTTCTGATGGTTCAAACATAAGAATGAAAATTAAAAAGCTTTAAGTAGGTACATTATTTTACACTTATTTAAAAAGCAAAGATGATAACCTATTATTCTAAATATGTATCATACTTTTTAGGATTCTTTATTTTTTTTAAATTTTTTTTTTCAACGTTTATTTATTTTTGGGACAGAGAGAGACAGAGCATGAACGGGGGAGGGGCAGAGAGAGAGGGAGACACAGAATCGGAAACAGGCTCCAGGCTCTGAGCCATCAGCCCAGAGCCCGACGCGGGGCTCGAACTCACGGACCGCAAGATCGTGACCTGGCTGAAGCCGGCCGCTTAACCGACTGCGCCACCCAGGCACCCCTTTTTAGGATTCTTTAAATCATATTATGAGAATTAATTAAAATGGCAATGATTTATTCTATATATATTTAGTATAGGGAAAAATGACAGAGGGAGACCATCTACATTTTAAAAGAAGCAACAAAAAAGAAGGGGTCTTGGAGAGTATCCAGACAACTTTTTTTTTAAAGCCCCCCAGAGCAGGACTGTTCATCATAGAGTAATTTACAATTATCAAAGCATTTAACCTAAATGGTTATAAGCCAGTGTTAAGAGATTATGAAATTAGAGGCAGAGAAAAATAAAATATTTTGTCCTAGAACAGACTAGTCAATAATAGATCCTCTGCTAGCATAATGTAATTCTCGCTATCTTTAATTACCTATACCACCCAGCTCATTACATTTACAAGAACAGAATATAATTCAAGAGCAGAGACAAACAGTGCTCAAATAAAATATGGGCCAGGGAGCCTTTGGAATTCTGGGGGAAAAGAGATTTCAAGAAGCAATTTATTCCTTTCCCTCATCTTTAGGCAAAAACGTTTTAGACAATAAAAACAGATACTGTTTTCAATCACTCTTAGAAACTGATTTTATCAACTCTTTTGGAGATGGATTCTATCCTTTGATCATTTATAGGGAAATGCTCTTACAAGATACTTGAAGAGCAAACACTGCATAACTTTAACCACATAAAGGCTTCGCCATGTTGGAAAATGCTAGGGTTTTTTCCCTTCACTTTTCCTGAAAGTAATTCATATTCCCATCTCCACCATCTTTGCAGCTTTCTGAATTCACAACTTTTCCCAAGGACCATGTTAACCATATAGCCAGAGCCAAAGACACAAATTGACCACAGCTGAACATAATGAGCTCCTGATTTAATCACATACAGCCTACCTGCTGTTTTTAATCATCTGCACATAGTTCCGGTCTAACCACAGCAATAGCCTGCTTATCTAGTGTTTGTCTGGACTGTACTGGAGCATACTCCCAGTCTGGGGAGAAGATGCTCACCTCACCAACCCCATGTAACACTAACTATCCACCTGAAACAAAAACCTTTTCTGCACACAACTCTAGTCATTTATTTTGCAATTTCAAAACACACTGGGCCTAAATACAGGAGAAGCAATGTTAATGATATTATTAACTGACACTTTTATGTACTGCTTTCTTAAGTAATAGCTGATGATCTGAGCATTCATTATAAAAGCACAGCAGTCTGGGGCCATTCAACAGAAGGGGAAGCCATGGAAATATTAACCTAGTTACAGTCTAGTAAAACATACATTCACATAAATGACTTTAAATGATGAAAAAAGTAAAATTATGTTTTATATAACTATCTTGAGCAAGAATGACACTTTTCTTTTATAAAAATTATCCTTTAAAAATGGATGAATTTAAAAGGCTCAGTGCTTTTAAATGATTCCACTGTAATAATCCAGAAAATTCCCTTATGTATGTGACTGTATTATTCTCTAATAAAGCCAGATTAGTAAAGCTGTTTTTGTACCAGAAGACCTTCCTTTCTCTTGGGCCAGTCATTTGAGTAGGATACTGAGGCCCTTTTTTCTCTTGATAATTTTGAACCTTGCCATGCTACATGCCTAATTTGCTATTTCTCAAGGTACACCACCTCCGTGGCTCCTAAACTCAGCAAATTCAGCTGTTAGAAGTAAAGGGCAAACATGTATCCTGCAAACAATAGGTGGCCCCTCCCCTTATGGAAGACAATGAGCATACCTCCTTCCCTTGGGAGCTCCAAGGCAGCCCCAGGCCCCCTACCAGCCAATTTTCCACAGTAAATAATACAGTATTGAAACAGTTCATAACACATTGTGCTAGACAACTAAAAATACCACTATACATAAATACAGCATTAACACTAATTTTCCTCCATAATCAAAGCAAAAATCTTCATTAATTTATACCTTTGAGGTGGTCAGGCCCACCCAGAACATCTTTTCTTACTCTTATAGCCTCCTGGGTAGACTGTGTAGGGCTTGGCTGTGAAGAAGCTTCTCCAAGATTTTCCAGCAAAATTTTCATTAAAACTGTTAAGTCATCTTCACTGAGAGCAACCTAGAAAGCAACAATAAATTGTTAATATATAAGTAATAAAAAAGCAGAATATCATATCCATGTCTCAGTTTACAGTTCCTCAAATTCAATGTTCACCTAAGCAAAAAAAAAAAAAAAAAAAAAAAAAAAAAAAAAAAAAAAAAAGAGTTGGGACAGTAAAAACAGGAAACAAGTGTTTCATTGTATAGTAGGAGACATTATTGTTGTGTAAAGCACCCTTCTGTCTGATCCCACGCCCAAGCACCTGCCTATGTCATTCTTCTTCCCGGTCTGTTCCTATCTTTCTTCTACTGTTCCTGGACCTGTGCTTCTCTCTCCTCTCCTTCTCTCCCCATCGCCACTCTGACTCTCTCTCTTCTCACCCAGTATCAGCTCCCTCCTCCACTTCACTCCCATCCAAACTTAATACAGGAAGAGTGTTGTTCAGTTTCTAGTCTCTACCAAGAAGTAAAAAGATACTCTCCTGCAATGGAGCTCTTATTCCCTGTAAATATGCATCTGGACATACCTAAGATATTTGTGCAACTTATCAAGAATAATGCCACTTAGAACAGTAAGTAATGCATCACGAAGAATTTTTTAAAACAAAAACACAGAGCAGAAAAGGAGCATCTTGTTGATCTCCCACCTTTACAAAAGGGAATGTGTGACAAAGGAAGGAAAGAAGGAAGAAACAAACAAACAAAGTAAGTAAGTGATGGGGTGCCTGGGTGGCTAAGCCAGTTAAGCAGCTGCCCTTGGCTCAGGTCATGATATCACAGTTGATGAGTTTGAGCCTTGCATCCGGTTCTGTGCTGACAGCTCAGAGCCTGGAGCCTGCTCAAGATTCTGTCTCCTTCTTTCTCTGCCCCTTTACCACTCACACTCTGTCTCTCTCTCTCTCAAAAGCAAATAAACATTAAAAATTTTTAAAGAAAAAGAAAGCGAGAGAGAGAAAAAAAGAAAAAGAAAAAGAAATGAAGAAGCAAAGAGGGAGGGAGAGAGTTTTTGAGTCAGGCAGCACTGTATCAATGCTACCACTTTCTGGCTGTGCTATTTGCCAAGTTTCTTAGCCTCCTTAACTCAGGTTTCTTAATCTTTAAAAAAGAAATAATACCATCTTCCTCCTAGCTGCCTGCAAAACATGAAGTAGCTAGAATAAAGTTGCTACTGGCTGCCAAGAACCATTAAACCTTTTAATCTTTCTATCTTTTGTACATTTTCCCTACACATATAGCGGTCCAAAAGACTGTTCCAAATACTTAAACACAACTTCACACAGGCATGCATGCATTCACAGCACCTTCTCCTCTGAATACCACAGAATACTTTGTTCCCCAAATACTGGCCCTTATTGACAGAAAAAGTGCCTGACCCCAGCCTAAATGAAAATGGGGAGATACTTTAGCATGAGATAATAACCAACGATTTCTTGTTTGCTCCAAGAAAATAGATGTCACTTTAACTCCCCAGAACTTCCCTGTGTATTCATTCCCACGTGTGATACCAACCAAGATATTACAACTACCTGGAAAGCAGTGAACTTCACCGTCCCCTCTGGTTTGCTGTGGCTGAAACCCTTCCGTAAGCGTGAATGACAATTTGAGACAAGGCCCCACAGTTGTTTAAGAACTGTCAAACTGATTTACTCAACCCACTGATGTCACCTACCTGATACCCTTTCTTAACTACACCCAGAAAAAGTACAGACTCACACCAATGAGGGGGTGTTCTCAGAGGCCTGGATTGCTGACACATCAGGTAGTGGAAACTGTACCCACTAAGGCTGCATCTTGATTTAACAGACGTCCTTTTAGTTAAAGTGATGATCACACGTTGATGTTAAAATGCTGGATCTGTTACTTTTTGTCTTTCTTTTGAAATACTTCCAGCATAAAGGAAAAGCAGAGAGAATACAATAATCCTCCCCAGTGTACCTATCATCTAGCTTTGTCAAATCTTACAGTTTCCCACATTTCCTTTAGATCTTGTTCCTCCATTATAGATATGGTTGAAGACCTATGTTTACTTCTGTGAGACTCCATCCCAGCTACACTCCTTTTCAGCGAGACACTATCCTGAATTAGAGAATTATTCTTCCCATGAATGTTTTCTTATATTTACCACTATTGAATTCCCTACAAACAATTCACACACACACACACAACGCAAACACACACACAGCAATGTCTATTGTTTGTTATAAAATTTGAAATAATATAGAATTGTACTCTCATTTTGCAACTCAATTTTTTCTACTTTTATGTTTAAGGTATACCCATTTTGTTTCATATAGTTCTAGCTCACTCACCTTATCTGCTTTATACTGCCCATAATATGAATATACTGTCCCTTAGTCCATATTCTCCTACTGACAGAAATACAGGTTTTACTTTTGCTTTCAGCAAACCTAGAACCACACAATCCTTGAAAGCAAGGGGAAAAGGTCAGATATTAGCCCTGAGATCTAATCTCTTAACAGCAAGGGAGAAGCTGAGAGTTGCATACTCTGAAATAGAGAAATCTTTATGAATAAATACCCTAAAGAGACACTCTTCCCTTATATTATATCCACTCATAACTACACAAAGGACCGTTCATCCCTACAACAAACTTCAGTTTTAACTTCTTCCTGAGTAGAACTCTTTGACCTTTCTGTTTTATCTTAGAACTAACTCTGAAGTAATCACAGGTATCAAAAACTTCTAAACTACTAAATTTTTATTTGTTTTTCACACACTCGGTTTAGTCACTCTCGGTCCTCCCCTATACCCTACTGCTTGTCTTCAGTGGTCTCACAAACATGCACAGGAGAACCACAGGACTCCTACACTTCCATTACCACCTTTGACCAATACCATCTCTCCCAGTGAGTCAACATGGAAACCTATAATCACACTATTATAAACAATGCTGTATTTATAGGTTACCAAATGTACACATTCATCTATTTAAAATGTCCACTTTTCGGGGTGCCTGGGTGGCTTACTGGTTAAGCGTCTAACTCTTGGTTTTGGCTCGGGTCAGCATCTCACAGTTCATGGGTTTGAGCCCCATGCTTCAGTGCGGAGCCTGCTTAGGATTCTCTCTCCCTTTCTCTCTCTCTGTCCCTCTCTCACACACACACTGTCTCTCTAAATAAATAAATAAATAAACTTTTTTAAAAAGTTCACTTTTTTTTTAATGTTTATTTATTTATTTTTGAGAGAGTGAGCGAGCAAGTGTGAGTGGGGGAGAGGCAGAGAGAGAGAGAGGGAAATGCAGAATCTGAAGCAGGATCCAGGCTCTGAGGTGTCAGCACAGAGCCCAACATGGGGCTCAAACTCAAGAACCATGAGATGATACACTGAGCCGAAGTTGGATGCTTAACTGACCGAGTCACCCATGTGCCACGTAAGTTCTATTTTTGAATTAAAAGAGTGCTTTTAAACATTAAGAATACTCCTATGGTATTTTGAATGTGGTATTTAAATCTTACTTTATACTGGCTTACAATTCAAGTGCCTTAAAACTGTAACAGACCTTTCCAAAATGACTAATAATATGTTCAGTAAACTCTAGTAGGTTTTATCTCGGACTTCTTGCTGGCTTTACCAGGTATGTGACTAAAGTGAAATAAAAAAAAGTCAGAGAATTAGGATGACTTCATTTTCAGTTAACAAATACTCCCATTTAAGGCATCACCACTTTTTTTTTAATGTTTATTTATTTATTTTGAGAGAGAGAGAGACAGAAAGAGAGAACGAGCGAGTGAGCAAGCAGGGCAGGGGCAGAGAGAGACATAGAATCTGAAGCAGCCTCCAGGTTCTGAGCTGTCAGCACAGAGCCTGACGCGGGGGGCTCAAACCCATGAACCATGAGATCATGACCTGAGCTAAAATCAGAGGCTTAACTGACTGAGCCACTCAGGCGTCCCAAGGCATTACCACTTCTGATGTACACTAGAACTGGACTGTGATCAATGCTAAAAGCCTACTCACAATTTTCACATAATGTATACATACACTTACCAACATAGGTTTTAGCTTTCCTTTTATCTCCATCCCTGGAATCTGCGTATACCATGCTGCTGCTAAATTTCGTTGTATGGACAATAGCATGTTGACTGGTTTTAAAATTTCAATGTCATGTTGTGGCAAGCCAGACTGCAAAATAGTTCTGAAAGATGAACAAGAATTTGTTTTGTATTTTTTAAATTTACATTTTAAAATGAAGACTATCATATTGTGTAATAGTTTCCAGTTTTCCTGGATACTGAAGGCTGCTATCAGAATTCTTCTAGAACATGCTTCTTTTCACAAATCAATCCAAATCAGAAGAAATCAAGAGCTTTCTAAAATAAAATCTAGGCAAGGCTGATTCCAAAGAAAAAGAGTATGACTATTAAACTATTTATTATCTTCCACAAAGACTATTCAATATTAGCAACTAGTACAATGTTATACAAACAAATGTTTAACATCCTCATAAAAAAGGCAAAGAAACTCTACATAATCCTTAGTTTTGTGTTATTGGTACTTCTCCAAACTCAAAGGGAAAAACTCACCAAACCTACACATTAAACAAACATATGGTGAATAGTCATTTCAAGCATGACTGCCAACAACCATTTGCACAACCAAATGAATGACTCTTGTCATTCAACAGACCCAAGACTTTCCCATTTGGATTCAATAATCCTTTAGATACCACACTGAGCATTCCCAAACGTGACAAGGTTTGGAAATGAGGAAAAAAAATCTTAACTTTTAGTACATTTTAAGAAGTCTGCTTCTGTCTACAGAAAATAGCTATGTGCAAAGTGAAAAATAACTAAAATAAATCAAAATTATTATTGAGTAAACTTTAATTTTATAATAGTAAATTTTTATAAAATGGAAAAAGCCACATAATAAATGTAGTAACACAAAATGAAGATTCCATGAGGTGCACAACTATTACCACTGACCAAAACCCAATGGTCATGGTTTTATAATTATAAAAAATAAGGAATGACAACCACAAAGAGTGAGAGTATTTTACCCCTTGAAAAGATTTTATGAGAATTATATTTCTAGAAGTAGTACACAATTGGATTATATATGTATACCTGGACAACTTCAACTGAGTTAGTTGAATGCTCATCTTGTCAATGACTGGAGGAAGAGAATCACGTTCCATAGGAACTAAGCTAAATTTGTTTTCAACTCTGATTAAACCCAGATCTGCTATAACAGCATTAGGCGATACTGAAGACTGAGGAATAATAATAACTGGTGCTTTCAAGTTGATATCCATCAAAAGGCGGAAACTCTTTTGAGCCAAGTCTTTCATGCTGGAAGCAGCCCTTTCTGCAGCCTGGACTGTGGCTGAGCTCAAAGCTTCTTTGGCAGTTTGGAAATTGTTGAGGAAGTTCTATTGGAAGAGATAGATATTTAGATTTCCTTTAAAAAAAAAACAGGATTAACTTTAAAAAGCATTTTCTTTAAAAAAGAAAAACTAAATAAAATAGTAAAACAAAAGAGAGGCTATTTATGATTGTATATATGGAGACTGTCTAGAAAGACACACTCTAAAATATTAACAACTATTACCTATAGAAACAAGAGCCTTTTAACTTTCATTTTATGTATTTCAAAATTATCTGTTTTTTTATGAGAAATTTTTGTTGGCAATTCTTTTTTACATCTCCCTTTACTCACGAGTGTTTGTCACTTTAAATTCAAATGTAAATAGGGGTACCAGGGTGACTCAGTAGGTTAAGCATCTGATGCTTGATTTCTGCTCAGGTCATGATCTCACAGTCAGTGAGACAGAGCCCTGCATAGAGCTCTGTGCTGACAGCACGGAGTCTGCTTGGGATTCTCTCTCCCTCTCTCTCTGCCCCTGCCCCCCACTCAAAATAAATAAGTAAACTTAAAAAAAAAATAAATAAAATAAATTCAAATGTAAGTAAAAGGACAGCAATTTACTTCTCCCACAGAGGTTCAATTTTGTACCTCTAGGGCACAGGAAAAAAAAGTTTATTGTTAGAAACTAAGAAATGCCAGCTTATTTCTGAAGTTTTTTTTTTTTTTTTTCTGAGTGTACTCAGGCATAAGCAAAGATGCTTAAGGGTCTATAAACTTGCAATCATTAGCAAGAGTCCAAATTACTTCATTTAAAGTAAGATGCATTTCATCTCAATTTCAACTAAAAACATATTTTTCCCAATGAAGAAAAGATGACTTTTAGAAGCAATATTCTTGAAGCTAATAATATAGAGTGAATTAAATTGCCCCTTCTCCAAATAAAATTACCTTCCAGAAGAATAAAACATGATGGTGTAGGTAGAAATCCATGACTAAAAGCCCTAAATATCAGTCTTGCTAAGAGGCATAGGCAGATTTAAACTCTTCAGCCCATGACATTTACATGGAAATAATAATTAAAAGAAAATAATTTTATAGACTTTTTGATTACAATTATATTCAAAAGTTGTAAATTCCAATACTAGTCCTTCATAAGCCTGAGGAGCTCCTAAAAAAATTCTTGTAGCTAAGTACCTTTAAGGGTATTTCATAAAACAACACTGAAAATACCTAAAGTAAAACAACAAAAAGTACTTTTAAATTATAGAACTATGGAAATGTGAAAGAATGAGAACAATAACAAAAATTCATTTGGGTATCCACCACATAAAGGATTTCCTTCACTATAATATTCTGTTCAGCATTTCAGTATTTACCACATAGCCCTGGTAGTAAAGATTTTGACTACCTAGTTACAGATGTATAGGCAAAGATATTTAGACCTCAATGAGAAATAAATATATTTTAAAACAAACTTACCAAAAGAGACATGAAGAATTTATGAACATAAACAATTTGAATACAACCCACTTTGAGACTAAGTTTCCCATCTACTTTCGACATATCAGCATAGGCCTTTCCTTCTGTGGCACCTGGATAAAGAGTCATTTGGAACCTAAAGACTTCATCTCCCAAAATAGAGACAGCCTAAAAGTATTAAATTAACTGGTTATTACATCAAAAGAGCTATATTATTTCAAAAGAGCTATACTATAAATAGCTTCCTTATTAAAAAATCCTTGATATATAAAGAAGCACCATTTAAATTCAACCTTCAATAAATTATTAGCTAAAAATATCTTACTTAATAAAACTTTTTCCTATTTCTACAAAAGTTGTTTTAACCAGTGGAAATAATCAATCATTTAATTGGTCAGACATGACTTACAAATCATCTAATCTACTATACACAAAGTGAGAGCATACAATAACCATATTCGTGCTCAATCCTTAAAGTGCCTAACACATGACAATTAATAAACACATAATGAACAAATGAGTAAAGGCATACCATACATAAAAATCAAAACTAAATAAATACCAATGCAGAGATTATCTTTCATTAAAATAATTTTTGATATTTACTTTTTAGTTTCTATTAATCTGTACATTCTAGTTTTTTGTGAATTAACTTATTAAGTTAACTTTTTTTGGTATAATTTGCATAAATAAAATGCACTCATCTGAAGTGTATACTCTGAAAAATTTTGACAAATTTATACTACCCACGTATGTAACACCAAAACAAGATACAGAACACCTCATCACTCCAACAAGTTCTTTTGAGCTCCTCCCCTTTAGCCAAAACCTGATCCCTCCCCAAAACCCAGATCCAAGCAACCACTGATCTTCTCAGTCTTTTCTAGAGCTTCATGTAAGTGGACTCATACTATATGTTCTCTTCTATATCTGCCTTCTTTCATTAATCATGATGTTGAGATTCACCCGTATTACATGTATCAACATCTTTCCCCCCTTTAGTGTTTTTGTTTTCTTCAGATAGATATTCAGAAGTGAAAATGCTGTATCATATGAAGGAAAGTTCTTTTGTTAATTTTTGAGCCACCTCCATACTATTTTCCACTGTGGCTGTACCAATTTACATTCCCAACCACAGGGCCTGAGAGTTCCCTTTTCTCCACATCTTCACCAAAACTTATTATTTCTTGTCTATTTAATAAATGCCATTCTGACAGGTGTAAAGTGATATTTCATTGTGTTTTTGATTTGCATTTCTCTGGTGATTAGTGACACCGAGCACCTTTTCATGTGCCTGTTGGCAACTGGTATGTCTTCTTTGCAAAAATGCCTATTCAGATCCTCTGCCCAATTTTTACCAGATTGATTTTTCTGTGTGTGTGTTACTGAGTTGTAGGAGTTCTTCATATATTTTTGATATTAACCACGTGTCAGATATATGATTTGCAAACTTTTCTCCCATTCAGTAGGCTACTTTTTGGTATGGTGATGGTTTCTTTTGCCATACAGCTTTTTAGTGCCATGTAGTCACATTTAAAAATGTTTGCTTTTGTTACTTTTGCCTTTGGGGTCAGATCCAAGAAAACATCTTAGCTAAGACCAACGTCAGGAACCTTACCACCTCTTTCCTCCTAGGAGTATTATGGCTGCAGGTCTTAGATTCAAGTCTTTCATCGATTTTGAGTTAAATTTGTTATATAGTATAAAATAGTGGTCCAGGGTCATGCTTTTTTGGGTAAGGGGGGGTTTTGGGGGGAAGGGTAAAGGGAGAGGGGGAGAGAGAAAGCGTAAGCGGGCGTTGTGAGGGGGTGGGTTGAGGGGGAGGGAGAAAGAGAGAGAGAGAGAGAAAGAGAGAGAGAGAGAGAGAAAGGCTCCATGCCCTGCACAGAGACCAACACAGGGCTCAATCTCATGACTGTGAGATCATGATCTAAGCTGATACCAAGAGTCAAGGCTTAACTGACTGAGCTACCCAGGCACCCCCACTTTTGTGCTTTTATATATAATTGTCAAGTTTTATTGACAATCACATTTTTTGCACTATAGTGGTCCAACATCACTTACTGAAGACACTGTCCTTTCCCCATTGTATATTCTTACCTCCTTTGTTGAAAATTCACTTTATGTACATGGGTTTATTTCTGGGCTTTCTAGTCTGTTCCATTTATCTATGTGCCTGTTTTGAGGCCAATACCATACTGTTTTGATTAATATAGTCTTTTAGAATAGTTTGAAATCAGGGAGCATGACACCTCTGGTTTTGTTCTTTCTCAAGACTGTTTTGGGGGTGCCTGGGTGGTTCAGTTGGTTGGGCCTCCAACTTCAGTTCAGGTCATGATCTCGCAGTGTGATTTCAAGCCCTGCATCAGGCTCTGTGCTGACAGCACGGAGCCTGGAGCCCCCCTTTCAGTTCTGTGTCTCCCTCTCTCTGCCCCTTCCCCGTTCATACTCTCTCTCTCTCTCTGAAAAATAAACAAACATTTAAAAAATTTAAAGAAAAAAAAGATTGTTTTGGCTGTTCTTATTTGGCTGTTCTTTTGTGTTTTGATACAAGTTGAGAATTGTTCTAGTCCATGAAAGATGCCAGTGGAATTTTGATAGGAATTGCACCGAATCTATAGAATGCTTTGAGCACTGTGGACAATTTAACAATATAAATTACTTCAATCCATGAGCGTAAAATATGTTTCCATTCACCTGTGTCTTCTTCAATTTCTTTCAACAATGTTTTATAGTTTACAGTGTACAGGTCTTTCACCTACTTGGTTAAATATATTTCTAGGTGTTTTTTTTTTCTCCTAGATATTTTATTCTTTATGATGCAATTGTAAATGGGATTGTTTTCCTAAATTCTTTGATAGTTCATTATTACTATATAGAAATGCAACAGATTTTTGTATGTTAATTTTGTATCTTGCAACTTTACTGAATTCACCTATTAGCTGTAACAGTTTTTTTCATGGTTTGAGGACATTCTTTAGTATTATATTTACATTCCTTTCTTATTTTCTTTTGTGTCTTTTGTGTATTTACTGTAAGTTTTACTTTGTGGTTACCATGAGGTTCACATAAAACATCCTATGCAGGTAACAGTCTGTTTTAGTTGACAACAACTAAAATTAGAATACACTCCCAAACTCCACATTTTCACTGTCTCCCCACATTTTATATTTTTCATGTCACATTTTACCCCCTTTTATCCTTTGAATCCATAAACAAATTACTGTAACCATAGTTATTTTTACTACCTTTGTCTATTAACTTTCATTCTAGCTTTAATAAGTGGTTAATCCACTCTTTACTATAGATTTACCTCTTCCAGAAAGATTTTTATTTTCATATGCTTTCTTGTTATTAATTAGTGCCGTTTCTTTTCAGCTTAAAAAGTCGGTTTAACATTGTTAGAAGCCCAGATAATGGTTACAAACTTCTTTAGCTTCTTGAGCTTTTGTTGGTCTGAGAAATTCTTTATCTCTCTTTCTATTCTGAATGATAACCTTGCTTGGTAGAGCCTTCCTGGTTAAAAGTTTTTTCCTTTCTGTTCTTTGACTATGTCATGACACTCCCTTCTGGCTTGGCAAAGTTTCTGCTGAAAATCTGCTGACTGCCTCATGTGGTTTTCCTTGTACATTAAGAAGTTCTTTTTCTCCTATAGTTCTTAAGATTCTCTTTAATTCTTGACAATTTAGTTAAAATTGGTGTCTTGGTGTTGTACTCTTTGGGTTCACCTTATTTAGAACTTTCTGTGATATTTCTTTTCCCAGTCTAGGGAAGTTTTCAGCCATTATTCCTTCAAATAAGTTTTCTGTCCCTTTCTCTGTCTCTTCTCCTTTGGGGATTCCTAGATTATGGGTATTATTCCACTGCATGTTTCTCATAGGTCTCTTATGTTATCTTTTTTTTTTTTTAATTCTCTTGTTATGCTGCTCTGTGTGGGTAAATTCCATTGCTTTGTCTTTTAGCTTACTGATCTGTTCTGCTTGATCCAGTATGTTGCTGAGACCCTCTGGTGTATATTTTAACTAACTTATTATATTCTTAGGCTGTATGACTTCCATTTGGTACTTTTGTATATTTTATATCTCTTTGTTGAAGTTGTCATTCTAATGATCCATTCTTCTCCTGAGTTTGGTGAGCATCTTTATGACTATTACTTTGAACTTATTATCAGGAAAATTACTTATGTCCAATTCATTAAGGGTTTTTTTTTAGGTTTTGTCTTTGTCTTCATTTGGACATTTTCCTCTGCCTTCTCATCTTGCCTCATTCTCTGTGTTTCTTTGTATTATGTGAAAGAGCTACCTCTCCCACTGGAGGAGTGGCCTTGAATAGGACATGACCTATGGGGCCCAGAAGCCCAATCCCACCTGGCCACCAGAGCCAGGCATCTACGGGGTGTCCCCTGTGTAGGCTGTGGGTGCCTGTAAGCTATGGCAGCAAGAGCACATCTCTGCCTCTCCCCACCGCCCCCATCTCGATGTGGCCATTTTATCTTCTGCTGTGAAGGTGCTGCTCATCTAGTTTTCAAAACTGTTTCAGAGGAAATTATCCCATTTGTAGCTATGGAATTGGTATTGCCATGGGACAAGGTGAGTTCAGTATCTTCCCACCCTGCCATCTTGCACAGCCTCCTTTTCCTGAAACCTGTTTTTTAATTACCTTTTTGTGAATAGACAGCAAATCAACATTCGTAACTATTATATCCTTAAGTCTGGCAAACATATCGGTCTGCTTTGGCTTCACAGAAATAGAGGCATCCATTCCTATGGGAAATGTAACATTTACAAACTTTTCACCCAATCCTAGTGAACCAGTTCAAGTGGCATTTAATTAAGTTAAAAGATATACTACCAAGATACAGAACGACTAAAATTACTATTAGACACATCAAAGGTATCAATTTCTATGTATGAGATGCCTAATAAAGATTACAGTATCTTTAAGTGCTATAGGTATCCCATACATAAAAGTTGTGGAAATTTTAAAGACAAAAAAAAAAATTTCAAAGAGAAATAATCACAGGTCTCCAAACAAATATCCTGTGCATTTGCAAGATCACAAGTGGTCATTTAGGAAGACACACAGTATTTCTTCAATAGCTACCTCACAAGCATTTATTATGAATACTAATGCTCTGATAACTAAGTATATATGAATATAATTTGATGAATAAATATTCACTGTCATAAAATCTATCTAAAACATAATCTAAGATTTCTCTCCAAAAAATTTTGTTATTCTGATAATTTCTAACGGCATGATGATTTCCTAAACAGCTCCTCAGTAAAAGAGAAAGTCTGCAGGTAAGACCCAGTAATAAGCTCAAACTATTACCATGCTACCCATGAAATAGATACTTGGTAGTATTTGTTGAATAGTACTTATTTTTTAATCTTTTCTCTAGTGTTTACTATGTACCACTTTTCTAACTATATACGTATATAATCCTACAAATAATTATTATAACTATCACAACAATCCCATGAATAACTATTATAACTATCTCCATTTTACAGAAGAGAGAACTAAGTTACAGAAAGGTTAATTTTCTCAAGGTCAGCCAATAAGTGTTAGAGCCAAAATTTGAATGTTGGCAGACTGGTCTAAGAACCCATGGTATAATACCAATCTATCCTTTTATCAAGCTGATAATGGATAAAGCCTACAAAATTTCTTTTAGATACTTCTATTTTGATGCTATATATGCACAAAGGACAAGGGAAATAAAGACAATAACATTTTCTCAGTGAGGTGTTCTGATATTAATTTCTCAGTTTAAATTAACATTATATTATTCTGAAAAAACAAACAACATAAGCAATTAAGCCTTCGATTTATTCTAAAATTTTAAAAATACACAAGAAATGTTTCATGTCAGCTATGAAGCATAACAAATTCACATCCAACATTTCAAAGCACATCTCTAAAAAGGTTGCAAAAATCTTCAATATATGTAAACAAAACTATGACTCATGAGAAATCTACCATGCACAAGCTTACTCTTCCTGATGTGATGGTGCTGTTTCTATTTCTGAAGAAACAGAAATACCTACACCAAGGAATATCACGTACTTACCACGTACTCTAATATCTGCAATGTTACACTTCTGATCACAGATAAAGACATTAAATGCATTTAATTCAGCTATGACCTTTAAATCAAACACATCATCTTGAGAAGTATTGCTGGATGCTGAAAAGTAATACAAACCTTGTGATTAGCCAAGTGCACAGATGATATAACAGATAAAATAATGTAAAACTCATAAAAAGTACATTATGAACTATGAAGAATCAAAAAGGCCTCCATTAAGATTACATACAATTAACATAGATTTGACTCAATTTTCAAATGCCAATCAGACAAAAAGTAGCATGTTCCCTCCCAACTTAAGAATAAAGGCAACCTTTAAAGCACCTCAGAAGTACAATTTGCTAGAGGGAAATTTTCCCATAATTTTTCCTCTTAGAAAAAAGATAGTCCTCCATATTAGAATTCTAGAATTCTATTGCTCCCAAATTTTTATTTTGAACTTGTTTTTACATCATATATTAGATCAAAGAACATTTCATAAAAATGCTGAAATAAAGAATAGTTAATAAAATACATATTAACTATAACACAATCCGTGTTCTTAACTATAGAACCAATTTCTCTAGATTGTATCCTATTTCTCCATGAAAAATACTGAAATAAAATCTATGAGACGTAAACATAAAAGGTTAAAGTTTAAAAAATAAAATATATAATGTATGTGTGTGCATGTGTATAAGAATCATAAACAAATGGGTTCCCTTCATCTACTTTGGTTTAGGTCTTCACTGATAAATTTAGGAGATGTTTTTCTAGAGATGTGTTTTGCCTGAGGAAAATAGACCTTTTCCTATAATACTGTAAAAGTACAGACATCAGTCTTTAATCACCAAAGTGATAACAGGAATTTTTGTCCCTTAAGATGTAAATCAAACCACAAAAACTATATTCGAACCATAAAAATCAACTATAAAACATACTGGAAGACTGTTCTTTTGGGCTAATAACTTTTGTAGTTTATTGAAATTAAACACTGCTTTTTCATTTATTCAACTGTGTGTGTATATGTATGCATTTATATAAATAAGTATTTCCACGGACATTAATATGACAAGTATATTAAAGACAAACTTTAACTCCAGTTTATAGCAAAAGTATTGCTCTGATCCCTGATTTAAAAAAATCTGATCCTTATATTAGGTCCAATATTACTAAGACTTTAACACTTTAAAGATGTCAGTAATACAGATATATTACTCAAACAGGTAATGGTCTGAAAATTAAATTACCAGATATCAGATACTCACATCATGTAATATGAAAGCAAAAATCATTAAAATGATACTTGGCTTAAAAACAGGCACATGTTCACTCTGGATATTTCATATTTAACTTATAGCACAAGCCATATGCTTGAGCAACATGTGTCCATATATGTATGTCATTTAAACTCATAAACTTTGGTTTTTGTTAGAAACCAAAGTGAGTCTGTCTCTTCTATAACATTCTTCCTCCTTTTGTGTCCTGCAAGTCATTTAAAATTGTTCAGCGTCAGGTAGGTTTATGTGACTGACTGAAACGGGCCTTTGTACTTTGCATGATTGTATCACATTTTAATTTCTTCTGTTCTCACTTGCACTGAAGGCTACAGAAACATCAATACAAAGTACATACAACTTTATTCTATGTAAAAGATGGTGAAATCAAATATAAATATATGATTAATACTAAACATTTATTTTAAATCCCTTACTAAATTATTCTATACTACTGCAAGGATAAAATTTGCGTTTTCTTTTGAAACTATCCTAATCCGTCAGAGCAGCTATCACATTAAGTTGCTAAATATTAGTCTTAGCTTGAAAATATAAGTTATCACATGATTATTAAAAGTTCAGACAGAAAGAATCAGACCATGCTCAAAAGTTAATACCAGCTTTGACAACGATACTTCTGGACTCCCCCACAAGTGGTTTCAGCTCAGATTCCTTCTCAGTAGAGGAAGGTTCAGAGGATGGAACAGCAGATGATAAAAAATCCATGAAGGACAGTAAAGCTTCCAAATGAAGTACTAAGTCTAAGGATGAAAATGAAACCTAAGATAATGAACAATTAGAGAGGCAAATTTCAGATGTGGTGACATTTTTATGTTAAGCTTCAACATATACAAATAAGTATAGGTTGCAGAAGAGCTGATTTTAGAATAGTTCAATTAAGATCCTTTTTTTTTTTAAGAAAAAACTCACTATTATAATGTTAATCTTAACCAGACAATAAACTAATACTTTGCCCCCTCTCATGCCCAACTGTAATTCTGACCTCAATTGGTGGGTTTAAAGTAAAGATACAGGCCTTAATTCAATCACATTTCAGATGAGTCCAAGACAGACTATATAAGCGCAAATGGACTGTAGGCAGTGTTTGCACTGAACCACGCTTTAGCTTAGTCGTTAATTTTATTCTAATCATAAAGCCAATATATAATTCAAATGTTTAATGCTTCCATCAACACTAGGCCAAATAACCATGAACAAAATTCCCTTAAGTATATTATTGGGGCGCCCGGGTGGCTCAATCGGTGAAGTGTCTGACTTCAGCTTAAGTCATGATCTCACAGTCCGTGGGTTAGAGCCCTGCGTCAGGCCTGTGCTGGTAGTTCTGTGCCAGCAGCTTGGGGTCTGGAGCCTGCTTTGGATTCTGTGTGTGTGTGTGTCTCTCTCTGTGCCCCCTCCCCCATTCACACTCTGTCTTTCTCTCTCAAAAATAAACATTAAAAAAATTTTTTATAAAAAAAAAAAGTGTATTATTTGTTGGCATGGATGTGGAGAACGGGGAACCCTCTTACACTGTTGGTGGGAATGCAAACTGGTGCAGACACACTGGAAGGGAGTATGGAGCTTCTTCAAAAAATTAAAAATAGAACTACCCTACGATACAGCAATTGCACTACTAGGTATTTACCCAAAGGATACAAAAATACTGATTCAAAGGGGATAGCATAGCAGTCCCGATGTTTTACAACAGCATCGACTGGCCAAAGTAATATGGAAAGAGCCCAAATGTCCATCCAGTGATAAATGGATAAAGAAGATGTGGTGTGTATATATATATATATATATATATATATATATATATATACACAATGGAATATTAACTCAGCCATAAAAAAGAATGAAATCTTACCTTTGCCATGACACAGATGGAGCTAGAGAGTACTATGTTAAGTGAAATAAGTCAGTAAGAGAAAGACAAATACCATATGATTTCACTCAGATGTAGAATTTAAGAAACAAAACAGATGAACATATGGGAAGAAAAAAAAAAGGAAAACCAAGACAGAGATTATTAAATATAGAGAACACACTGATGGTTACCAGAAGGGAGGTGACTGGGGAATGGGTTAAATGGATGACGGGGATTAAGGAAGTCAGTTGTGATGAGCACTGGGTGTTGTATGTAAGTGATGAATCACTAAACTCTGTAACTAAAACTAATATTACACTGTATGTTAAATGACCATAATTTAAATAAAAACTTGAAAGAAAAATCGGGAAAAAGCATACTATTTTTGTACTCAACAAGTAATCATTAATTCATATCTGGAAAATAATATTTTAGGAAATTACATCAACTTTTGTAAAAATATTATTTCAACTCTTTATCCGTTTCTTTCATCTACAAGATTAGATCTATTATTATCGTCACCCTTGTTTTAATTTTAGACCTCACCATCTCACAAATGAAGACAGCTATAAAGCTAGATTTAATCATTAATATAAAAAGCCTTATAGTGAATTACAAAATATTTACCTTCAGTCTTTGTTTGGTATTTTCATGAATGGTTTTAAATTCTGGTCCATCACTGTCTGCCTAGAAAAGGTGGAAGATTAAACCACTGGGCCGAAAATACTAATAATTCAAACATTGAAATATATACACACACACACACACACACACACACACACACACACATTGTACATACATACACATATATACATACATATGTATATACATATATATATATTCTTCACTTTTCAAAGTATGCTATGAAAACACTATAAACATATTTCTTAATGGCAAAGAGGCATGTGCCAAAAAACTTGACCACATAAACATTTCTCAAATTCTATAGAAGCAAAAACTCAAATTCCTTTTCCTACTTAGAGGCAAATGCTAAAGGTAGGGGAAATGCTAGCATATCTAGATTATAACAAACTTTGCTTTGGATAACCACAGAACTTTGTATACACTCACTTACTCAACAACATAAGGTTAACTCAAAAGGTTATTGATATCACCAGGACTGTCAGGTGCTTTTGCATAATTCACTATAATCAATGAGCTTTAGAATGAAAAAATTTAAGGGAGAAAACTGAAATATTAAATATGGGAGAATTACATAATTTCATGTATTTAAATATTTTTTAAGAATCCTAGAAGGAAGCCAAGTACCTTGGTCAGTGACATTTTCAGCAGAGGTTCCTCAGTTACATTAGAAGAGTTAATAACATGAAGTGGCTCTCCTGCAGAGTCTAACAGAAAAAAAACCAAGGGCAGCTCCAGTCAGTCTTTCAAACATTTCAAATATATTTTAAAACAGAGTACCCAGTTACACATATGTAAGTTTGTCAAAATTCATGGAATCATATACTAAAAAGGGTTTTACTGTATACTGATCATACCTCAATAAAAGTGGCTTTGAAACAAAAAAGACAAAGAAACACCATTAAAAAAAGTTAGAAACAAAACAAAACAGTAGCAGCCAATTACAGCTTTTGTAACATTTGGTAGTACTGGTATATTCATTTGATCAAATCAGACTAAATTGAAGAACAAAGCTATAAAATACATAAACTATTCTCAATAGGTTTGCTCTATTTAAAGTTACCCCATAGAGTGCCTATAAACTTTAAACACCTTTAGCAACTTTCAAAGTTGGCTTGATGCAATTTAAAAAGTGGATCTGAAAGGCTGAGGAAACTCACTGAACAACAACTTAGTATTTACATGGGGGTAAGAAGTGAAACTAGAAAGTGATGTTAAATTTTTCCTCTATAATATTTCTGTATTGTTTAATTTGTTTTTTCAAAAGTATAGGTTAATGTCATTGAAAACAAAAAACACTGATGTAATTTAAAAAAAAATAAAAAGCAAACAAAGATTATTTTCTAGTAAATTAACTCACTTTTCATAAAGGGTCCCTGGGCTTTTACACATGGGTATTATAACTGGGCTCTGATTTCCTAATACATCAGTTCTCACAGCAGAGTTGTAAAGAAATGTTGCTTTTACAAGTATTAAAATGTTATGTATAGACATAGAAGATACACTTCATTTTTCTTTTTAGATATAATTCAACTTCATTCTAAATATATATATACACACATATACATATAAATGTATTTAGATACATTCTTACTTACTGGTAAAAAACTACACAAAAACTAAATTTTTAAATATCAAATTCTTTTTTATCCATGTAATAAATTTAATCTAACTAAATAATCATGATGACATTAATAAATGTGCTTACCACTCACACAGAGGTAGAGGCCACTGCCTGTAACATGAATAATTTACACAGACTATACTTCACACTTACCAGTGAACTCAAAGCATCGCATACTAATTTTTTTTAGATAAGCTTTAGCAGTCAGGTCATAGGTTCTAACTTTAGCTTCCATTCCAAGCTGCAGGACATTTAGTTCATGTAAAGGTCTTCCTTTCTTTTCTGCTTTTTTCATCAGAGTAATCACAACCTAGAAAAGGCCCCAGTATCACCATTAACAAGCTCACTCATATATAATGAAGATAAGTCAACAATTTCATAACCATACAGAGTGGCATAATGAAAAAATTCACATGATGTAAATACGAGTACTTCCATTTGTGCCTAGAAATTGCCTCATGTGATTGACTTTGAAGGTACATTTACTTGTTCAGACTTCTGAAGCACTGCCACTATATTCTAGTGATTATCAAGGTAAAATTAACAACAACAAAAACAAAAAAAGTAGTTCTGCCTAATTCCCAGGAGTTCTATCTAGTCTGATGGATGGCCTTTCATCTGAAAGTCTATAAGAAAAATGGTCAATTGTTACACTAATGCTAATGCAAGATTTCTCAAGCTTGACACCACTGACATTTTGGGCTGGATAATTCTTAGTAGTGAGGGAGCAGACCTGTGCACTGTAGGATGTTTAGCGGTAACACTGGCCTCTCTCATTGGTTGTCAGTAGCTCCCTTTCCACCGATAGTGATAATCAAAAATGTCTTAAGACACTGTGAAGTATTGGCCTAGGGGAATGCAAATTGCCTCGTCTACTCTCCATGTCCTAAAGTGATGGAACTACACTAACATTTACTACAAATGATATTAAAGACGGTGTATGGGTTTTCTATCCACATTGTTAATGAGGCCCATTTGCAAAAAGAATGATTCATCTATCCATGTCTCAATTATTAAAGCTTCTATATCTTTAATAACGCTAACATTAACCAGAAAACAGTAAAGTTTTAATAAGAAATTAGTTTCAAAGCATACATTTCAGATAAAAATACAGAACTAATTTTTTTAAGTTTATTGTATTTAAGCGAGAAGAACATAGCCTCTACTATTAATGATGAAGGGATTTGGGAGGAACTTCTTGCAAGTCCCCCTGCCCCAGGGTAAGAGAAAGACTCTAATCTTCCTTAAAAGCTCATCTCAAATGTCACTTTCTCCAAAAATCTTCCCTGATACTCCAGACTACTTAGATGCCCCCTCCTTATTATCCACAGCCACAAGCTCCTCCTGCACATTTTTAATGGGAGCACTGAGAAAACTTTTAGTTGTTTTTTGTTTGTTTTTTTCATTAGAGTCTATGTCTTCTAACTCTATCCTCAGCACTTAGCACATGAAATGACTATTTGTTGAATGTGTGAATACAGAAGAGGAAAATCCGTTTCATCTCTCCTCAAGAATCTGCAGATGAAGCAGACAGTGGTAATACAACACTAAAAAATGTAGACATACTATGTTTTATTCTATTAAGGGTTTCTTAAATTTGCAAAGGATCTGTCTGTCACTACTTCCCTTTCCTGACTTTCTCATATGAAATCCAAAGTGAGCTACATTCCTAATGTCCTAAAATCATTTGAAAAGCATGTTATAGGACATGCTACCATTTTCTCTATGAAACATTATATACCCCAAATATAACTCATCTTTTATATACTCTCAAATTTGCTACAAATTATGAATGCTACATACAAATGATAAATAGCCTACATAAAATTTTTTTATCCTTATCAGTAATTTACAAGTTTGTTTTAGTAGAGGGAATTCCAAATATCTATTATTTATTCACTTTACAAAAACAGATGAGGGGCACCTGGGCGGCTCAGTCGGTCAGGTGTCCGACTTCGGCCCAGGTCACACGCTTCATGGGTTTGAGCCCCACAACAGGCTCTATGCTGACAGTTTGGAGCCTGGAGCCTCCTTCACATTCTGTGTCTCCCTCTCTCTCTCTCTGCCCCTCCCCTGCTTGCACTCTGTCTCTCTGTCTCCCCCAAATAAATAAATATTTAAAAATTAAAAAAAAAAAAACAGATGAAAATCAGATACCTCTTTGATTTCAAAATTCAGCAGCATATTAATGATGTCTACAGATCTCATTTCTTCAGCTCCAGCTATTAAAATACCTTGGGAAGCATGTACATCTTGTTTTGATGTATAGATTTCAAGTGGCCCTTTAATTTCACCTAAAGATGTTTAAAAGAAATTTTTTCACTTCTATTCACACATTTTTTTTTCCCACAAATGCTCATTGAGGACATGTATGAGAACTCTGGACCTGTGCAAGCAATGAAAACCCACAAGTCAGTAATACATAGCTCTTGCTCTCAAAAACCTTACAGTTTAGGAGAAGAGACATATACATTTAAAATGCAAACAAACAAAACAAGCAGGCTACGCCTAGTCACAGTGAGTAAACAAATGTTAATAGACTAGAAAAAAAGTGCAGAAAACAGAGACTAAGACATTGTTATGGGGAGGCCAAGAAAGGTTTAATAAGTGAGTTATCATTCAGGTAGAGCTTAAGGACCTCCTCACACAGAGAGCACAACCAAGTATAAGACAAGAGATTGTAGAAACTCATAGAGAGTACACCATGAGAGGTTAGGGAAACAGAACAGAATATGATATGATTAAATCATGGAGAGGGTAACAAAAGTTAAGGCTAGAAAAGGAAAAAAGTGTGAGGGATGATTAGAACCTCTTATGCCATACAAAAAAGCAAAAGCAAAGCTATATGATCTGATGTTGTTGTGCTGAAATTCATATACTCTGACATGCAAGAAAACTGCTTTCTAAACTGTAATACATAAAACTTCCCCAACATCACACTGATGGCAAATGGTAGAGTCCAAACTCATCAGTCCCGTGAAAGTCTTTACTCTCAACTAACCCTCAATATCATTGTATTAGTTCTTAATATTACTTCAGTTAACATTATCTATGATCATGAACACAACACATAAGAATTCTGTAAACCATACCAGAAAAGCATATGGAAAACGATTGCTGTCAATTATTATCTTTGAGAAACACACAGGGTGAGGTTTCTTAACTATCACCTTACTCCAGCACTGTTCCAAACAGAGTGTGATCCAGGGGAATAATTCTAGCAAATGATTTGCTTTTACAAAATAACTCCTGGAATAGGCAAAGATTTTTTAAATAGAAAAAGCACTCGTCATTTTTAAAAATAGTATACTGGAATTCACTACAATTAACTAATTCTATTAATAAAAGACCCATTAAAAGAATGAAAAGCAAATCACAGATAGGGTGTGTGTATATCTATCTATCTATCTATCTATCTATCTAGATAGATACATGTATCAACACATAAATATAATACATATAACCAATAAAAGACTCATATCCAGAATGAACAAAGAACTCCAATATATCACTAAGAAAAAAACACAAACATCTCAATAAAAATAATGCTCAATAGGGGCGCCTGGGTGGCGCAGTCGGTTAAGCGTCCGACTTCAGCCAGGTCACGATCTCGCGGTCCGTGAGTTCGAGCCCCGCGTCGGGCTCTGGGCTGATGGCTCAGAGCCTGGAGCCCGTTTCCGATTCTGTGCCTCCCTCTCTCTCTGCCCCTCGCCCGTTCATGCTCTGTCTCTCTCTGTCCCAAAAATAAATAAACGTTGAAAAAAAAAATTTTTTTTTAAATAATGCTCAATAGACTTGAATAGTCATGTCATAAAAAAGGATATCCAAATGGCCAGTATGCATATGAAAAGGTTTTAATTTCAGTAGTAATCAGGGAACAAGTAAGATCCATAAAAATAACACTGTGTATCAGCCAGGACGGCGAAATTTAAAAATACTGACAATACAAAGGACCAGTGAGAATGTGAAACAACTAAAACTCTCATACATTGCTGGTAAACTGGTACAACCACTTGGAAAATCGTGTTCAGCATGTTACTGAAGCTAATCGTAAGCCTAACAAATGAGCCTATCATGTGAAGCCTAGCTATACAACCAAAAGAAAACAGGACATAAGTATGACAAAAGAAATGTATAACAACATTCACGGCGACTCTATTCAAGACCATCAAAGAATGGAAACAACCTAAATGTTCTCCATCAAAGGTAGAATGGATAAAATCAGTATTAATAAATCCATATGATGAATACTGCACAGATTTAAAAAGAACAAACTACTGCCACACACAACAACATGCAGGAATCTCACGAACAAAATGATGACTGAGACAAGCCAAAAACCAAAGAGTAAATTCTATGATTCCATTTATGTGAAATACAAGAAAAGGCAAAATTAATCTACCTGTGGTATTACAAATTAGGATGACAGTCAATTCTAGGTTGATCTGAGGGCAGAGTGGGTGTACTGAGTGGGAAGGAACATAGGAAGGCCTTCAAGGGGAGGCCAGAAATGTTCTATATGTTAACCATGGTGATTGACAGCTATACGGTATAGCTATATATAAAAATTCACTGAACTGTACACTTAAGACCTGCATTCTTTACTATTTGTGCTCTGTAATACAGATTAACATATAATAAAAAAGTTTTTTAAATGAAAAAAATATACTGAGATACCATTTTTTACTTAGCAATTTGTCAAAAACTTTAAAATCTAATAATATGCTGTGTTAGAAAAGGCACAGAAAAACAAACTGGCAGGAGTGCAAAATTAGTACAAGTTCTAAGGGGAGCAATTGGCAAGATGTCAAAAATGTTAAATTCATTAACTTAATATATATTAAGTAAGTAAAAATTAAATATCCTTTAATCCAGTAGCCCTGGTATTTCCCCTAACAGATACACATACACTTGTAAAAGTGTATGGACAAGGACATTCAATGCAATGTGGGAAGAGTGGAACACTGAAAACAATCTGAAATGTCCATCAGTATGGACTTGCTAAATAAATTATAATACGTCAAGAGAATTTAATACCAGGTGGCCATTAGAAAGAATGAGACATATCTACACATATTATATTTAAAGATATAAACACCAAGATAAACTGTTACTTAAAAGAAAAAAGCAAAATGCATAAACACACACACACACACACACACACACACACACACACACTTCTAGGATAGTACCATTCGATGGAAAAAATAATTATATATGTCTGTGTGTGTAATACACATATATAACAGTTTTAAAAATTAAATCCAGGGGCACTGGGTGGCTCAGTCACTTAAGCATCCGACTTCAGCTCAGGTCATAATCTCATGGTTTGTGAGTTCAAGCCCCATGTCAGGCTCTGTGCTAACAGCTCAGAGCCTGGAGCCTGCTTTGGATTCTGTGTCTCCTCTGTCTCTGCCCCTCCCTTGCTCATGCTCTCTCTCTCTCTCTCTAAAAAATAAACATTTTTTAAAAAATTAAGTCTAGGGGCGCCTAGGTAGCTCAGTCAGTTAAGCATCCAACTTTGGTCAGGTCATGATCTCAGAGCTCGTGGGTTGGAAACCTGCACTGCGCTCTGTGCTGACAGCTCAGTCTGGAGCCTGCTTCAGATTCAACTCCATCTCTCTCTACCCCTCCCCTGCTCTTGCTCTGTCTCTCCTCAAATATAAATAAACATTTAAAAAAATGTAAAAATTAAGTCCAGTAGTTACTTTGCCTTTAAGTAAGTCAAAGGGCCATTGCAACTAATAATTTAAATTCTCTAAATTTTTACCATAGTACAATTTGTCAGCATTTTCTTTGCTGAGTTATTTACCAAATGTTTCAATTCTTAAAGATATTTTACTACAAAACCTCACTTAAAAATCGGGGACCTCTGGCTGGCTCAGTCAGTTGAGCATCTGACTGTTGATTTCAGCTCAGGTAATAATCTCATAGTTCAGGGATTGAGCCCTGCATCAGGCTCTGCGCTGACAGTGCACAGAGCCTGCTTAGGATTCTCTCTCTCAGCCCCTCCTTCACTCTCTCTCTCTCTCAAAATAAAGAAATAAACTTAAGAAAATAAGATTAAGTATGCTACCATAGCCTACTGCAAACTTTGAATTTTTTTGTATACATGCAAATTCAAAAATTATTCCAGGAATCCACCAGATTTGCAGTGCTTTTTATGGGGTGCGTGGATGGCTCAGTTAGTTAAATATCGGACTTTGACTCGGGTCATGATCTCCGGTTTGTGGGTTTGAGCCCTGCATCTGGCACTGTGCTAACAGCTCAGAGCCCAGAGCTGCTTCATATTCTATGTCTCCCTTTCTCTGCTCATCCCTAGCCCATGCTCTGTCTCTCTCCGTCTCTAAAAAACAAATAAATGTTAAAAAAATTTAAAAAAAAGAAATACTTTTTATGGCTTCCTCCTAACTTACACAACTTAGAAAAAGTTCTGAATTGGTAACTGACTATTGGGATAACTAAATGACAGTCCATCATCTCTAACTATGGTCTTATTCAATATGTATTCAACAAATAAATATCTTCTTTCTTTTCATGGTAATACAAATCACAATGTGTACATATATATTTATGTCATTTTTATGGTTTGACTCCTGTGCTAAAGTGTAAAATAAGGAGATACGTGTATTATGCCACCTTCTGTCAGTCTCTTACCTGTCTTTTGTTCTCTTGGCTTCATTTTATTTAAGTCTTCAGTAGCCTCACCAAGATTTTCTGCTAGTATTCTAAATAAAAGGTTAAGATCTTCTTGATTTAGATTAACCTGTGAAATATCATTAAAAGAAAAGATAAAGGTACTTCATTTTAAAATAAGACAATTTTAATATAGAAATAAATTACTATTTATAAAACATGAAGGACAGAATAACCTTCACAGTGACTGAAAATTAGATCTTCACTACCCATTCAATTATTCCACTACTTATTTCATTTAAATACTTTATTTTCAATGGTAATAAAACGTTTGAAGGAAAAAATGTGATTTATCAGTCAGGATTAGTTACACTACTTAACTTATACAATCTTTAGTGAAAAATAATAATGATTAAAGAAATCAGATCATTTAAAAAAATGACAAACTCAGGGACGCCTGGGCGGCTCAGTCATCCGACTTCAGCTCAGGTCATGATCTCAGTTTGTGAGTTCGAGCCCTTCATCGGGCTCTGTGCTGACAGCTCGGAGCCTGGAGCCTGCTTCAGATTCAGTGTCTCATTCTCCCTCTGCCTCACCCCCACTTGTGCTCTGCCTCTCTCTGTCTCTCAAAAATAAATAAATGTAAAAAAAAAAATTAAAAAATAATAAATTCAGAAAAAACAAAAATTGTACTTTTTTAAAATTAACAACTCCAATGAAATAAAAAGGCTATCTTCGATACAAAAAATAATCATTTCTCTCAATGCTATAAGGGTACTCAGATACCCCTGAAATTAAAAGTATGTGTATATAACATATAGAATGAGATATACTATACTAATAAATAACTTACAGATCTTTGCTAATGTGTACGTATACAGCTGTGGGAGATGCAGGAGAGAAGCATCAAAGGAAAAGGCTTCAAAAGGGAAGGGCTGGAGAAGGTGCAAGGCCTTAGGACATGTTTACACAGCTGAACACAGCTGTGGCTGGTAAGGAACGCCTAGAGCCATTAACATTGTCTAAGGCTGGATGCTCCTTAATACCTGACCCTTCCTAGTGTTATAGAAACCAATTAACTCAAAATTAACCTTGAAAAGCTAAACCATTAGATTGATTAACACCCTTGCTGAGCTGACTTTATGCACCTAGTCTTTAGCAATTATCCTAATAAAAAGAAGCTTCATTCTGGAGTCGGGGCCTCATTCCCACCGGAGTATGAGGACCTTCACTTAACTGCACTTTGCGGACTCATCTTTTTCGACTCCAGTCATACTCCCTGCAACATATAGCAAATTTAAAAACTAAGTAATGAAGAGGGAGACCAAGATGGTGACATAGGAAGATCCTGAACTCACCTCCCATGTATGTACACACCAAATCTAAGCTACATATGGATTATTTCCCTCTGAGAAAGACCTAAAACCTGGTAAACTGCTCTTCAAAACAAAAGATAAAAGGACCATGCTGAAATGAGCTGGAAAGACAGAGACACATCTCACAAAAAAAATCTACCCCCAGTGTGGTGTCACACAAGAGGGAGGGATCTCACCAGAGATGCTTCTCTTGGAGGAGTGATGAGTTGGTACTCCCCATGGGCCACCTCTGCCCCTGGGAACTGCACTAGAGAGAGGAGCCCCCAGAAGGTCTGGCTTGGAAAACCAACAGTGCTGACCTCCAGAGGCCCCAAAGTGCTGTAGAAAACGGAGATTCCCCTCTTAAAGGGCTTGCCCGAAGATCCAGTGAAAAAACTGGCAGTTTGAAAAACACCTAGACTACACATGAGGGGAATTCACTTGCTGATCTGGGTACACTGGCTGAAGGATCAAGGGACATCTGAAACACTCCTGGGAGGCTGACATGCTGGCAGCTACCACTGTTGCACTTTCCACATAGCCTACTAGCATAGACAGGGGAGTCCGGATATGGCACTCTCCCAGAGCCTTGCTGGGATGAGCGGGGGAACAGTCAAGGCACTTGCTGAGGCTGCAGGGCACTGGCAATTGCAGTGCTCCCTTGCATCCTGGCTGGACCAGAGAGCAGAACTGTGGTGGAGTTCTCCCCCTCCCTGGCTCACATTCGCAAGCACAGGCAGTTGCAACACACCCGTGGCTGGAACTAGTGAGTGGTCCTGGCATTTTCCCACTCCCAGCCTAAAGTTGGTACACAGACACACAAGACACTAGCCTATTTCACTGTTGAAGCCCAAGGGCACACACGGTCAGGACATTTTCCCACTGCCTTTCTGAAGCCAGTGAGTCTGCTCTGCCTCCTACACTCACCAACTGTCTTCCTAAAGCCAGCAGCCATGTACAATCCAGAAAGAGAACATCCCTTGATGCACTGGCCCTGCTAGTCAAGACAGGTGGTGTTCCAGAGCTCCAGAGGACCATAACAAGCAGAAAGACAGTTCTTGGCAGGTCAACACCCCCAGGGCACTGTACAGACAGCAGACTGAAGCACAACCTCAGTCTTCCTATGACAAAGGCCTATTTACTCAGCCTTGAGTATCAGCCTGAGGGACAGGATTAAAGTTTCCCACATATCTAGAGACTAAGAAGGTGCTTTCAGGGTACAAAAGCAGGGAGACACCATCCTTGCACATCCCCGTTGGCCTTATTACACCTAAACAAGACTTGTGAGAAAGGAGTTCATACATTCATTTACACACCAATACAATACGCCAATTTCTGCAGCTGGTGCTCAGATCTCCTAGAGCCCTGAGCAGGGATTATGATTGCAGTCCCATGGGACTATATACATTTGCATACTTTAAAAGCAGTTGCCTGAGGGTCTGGCTTCTAATCAGCCTAAACTAAGTGCTGAATAATATTCCTCCCCTTGGATCACTGACAGATCTTGGCACACCCTCAACAATGGGGGCATACCAATAATAAATCAGGTGTGTTAGACAACCACAAAGGTTCAGAAGACAACCATAAGCTAGGACAAGGTTGAACAAGAAGAATCATCACCTAAACAAGGTTACCCATTCAAGACTAAAAAGACTGCCTGTTTCACCAAATAGAAACAAACACAGAAAATCAAATAAAATGAGGAAACAAATATTTTCAAACAAGAGAATAAGACAAAACCTGAGAAAAACACCTTAATGATATGGAGTTAAGCAATCTACCTGATAAAGAATTAAAGATCATAAAGATACTCACTGAAATTCAGGAAAACAATGGATGAGCACAGTGAGAATTTCAACAAGGAGATATAAAATATAAGACAGTACAAACAGAAGCCAGAGAACTAAAGATACGATAACTGAAATGAAAAATACACTGGAGGGGTTCTACAGCAGACTGGAAGAAGGAGAACAGATTGGTGAGCAGGAAAATAAAGCAATAGAACTTACCAAGACAGAGCAAAAACAACATTAAAATTTTTTTTTAAATGAAGGTATCTTAAGGGACAAAGAGAAACAGAAGAACATTAAAATTACAGAGGTCTTAGAAGAGAAGAGAGAGGAAAGTGGCAGACAACATTTTGAAGAAATAATGCCTGAAAACTTCCCTAACCTCGAGAAGGAAACAGACATCCAGGTCGAGGAGGCATGAAAATTACCAAAAAGGATGAACACAAGGAGCACTACACCAAGCCTTATTATAATTAAAATGTCAAAATTAAAGAGAAAATCTTAAAAGCAGCAAGACAAAAACAACTTGCTACATTCAAGGGAAACCTCATAAAGCTATTGGCAGATTTCTCAGAAGAAACTTTACTACCCAGAAGGGAGGAGCATGACATAGTCAAAGTACTAAAAAAATTTTCCAACCCAGAATACTCTACCCAGCAAGATTATTATTCAAATAGAAGGAGAAAGTGTTTTTCAAACAAGCAAAAACTAAAGGAGTTCATAACCATTAAACCAGCTTTATGAGAATACTAAAAAGCCTTCTTTAAGATGAATAAAAAGGGGACTAATAAAAAGAAAACATATGAGAGTAAAAATCTCATTGGAAAAGGTAAACATATAGTAGAGGTAGTGGATTAATCACTTATAAAACTACTAAAAATTTCAAAAAACAAAAGTAGTAAAATTAAGTGAAACTACAAATAATTACTTAAAAGATACATAAAAAAAGATGTAAAAGGTGACATCAAAAACATAAATTCTGTTTGGGGGGGGAATGTAGAGTTTGGATACGTTCAAAGTAAGTGGTTATCTATTTAAAATAGACTCTTACATACAAAGGATAGGGTATGTAAACCTCACAGTAAGCACAAGCAAAAACATATAGTGAATACACAAAAGAAAGGAATCTAGACATAACATGAAAGAAAGTCATCTAATACAAAGGAATTGAGAAGGAAATGAAGGAACAGAGAAACTACAAAACAACCTGAAAACAATTAATAAAAAAGCAATAAAGTATATACCTATCTATCAATAATTTCTTTAAATTCATGGACTAAATTCTCCATTTAAAAGACAGAGTAGCTGAATGGATAAAAAAACAAGACCTAGAAGAGACTCACTTCTGAAGTAAGGACACACAGAAAGAAAGTGAAGGGATGGAAAAAGATGTTTCATGCAAATGGAAACGAAAAGAACACTGGAATAGTTATATCATACAAAATTGACCTTAACAAAACTGTAATAAAAGACAAAAAAGACAATTATATAATAATAAAAGGATCCATAAAGCAAGGTAGGATGTTTATAAATATATATGCACCCAACATAAGAGCACCTAAATACAGATAGCAAATATTAACAGACCTAAAAGAAGAAGTTGACAGTAATACAGTAATAGTAGGAGACTTTAACACCTGACTTATATCAATGGATAGATCACCTAGACAAAAAAATCAACAAGGAAACACTGCTCTTAACACATTAGATCTGATGGACTTAACAGATACATACAGAACATTCCACCCAAAAGCAAAAGAATGCACATTCTTCTCCAGTGACCATGGAACATTCTCCAGGATAGATGACATATTAGGTCAAAAAAAACAACTCTCAAAAAATTTAAGAAGACTGAAATCAGGGGCACGTGGGTGGCTCAGCCGATTAGGCGTCTGATTCTTGATTTCAGCTCAGGTCATGATCTCAAAGTTCATGAGTTCAAGCCCCGCATCAGGCTCTGTGCTGATGGTATGGGAATCCCTGCTTGGGATTCTTTCCCCCTCACTCTCTCTCTGCCCCTCCCCTGCTCACACTCTCTCTCTCTCAAAATAAATAAATAAACTTAAAAAAAAAAAGGAGACTGAGGGGCGCCTGGGTGGCGCAGTCGGTTAAGCGTCCGACTTCAGCCAGGTCACGATCTTGTGGTCTGTGAGTTCGAGCCCCGCGTCAGGCTCTGGGCTGATGGCTCAGAGCCTGGAGCCTGTTTCCGATTCTGTGTCTCCCTCTCTCTCTGCCCCTCCCCTGTTCATGCTCTGTCTCTCTCTGTCCCAAAAATAAATAAACGTTGGAAAAAAAAAATTAAAAAAAAAAAAAAAAAGGAGACTGAAATCATATCAAGCATCTTTTCCAACCACAATGGTACAAAACTAGAAATAATTATAAGAAAACTAAAAAACCATAGAAATGTGAAGATTAAATAACATGCTACTGAAAAACCAATGGGTCATCAAAAAATCAAAGGAGAAACAAAAACAAAATACCCAGAGACAAGCGAAAACAGAAATACAACATACCAAAATCTAAAGAATGCAGCAAAATCAATTCTAAAAGGGAAGCTCATAACAATACAAGCCTACCTCAAGAAACAAGAGAAATCTTAAATAAACACCTTAACTGTATACCTAAAGGAACGAGAAAAAGAACAAACAAAATCCAAAGTTAGTAGAAAATGGGAATGATAAAAATCAGAGAGTAAATAAATGAAACAGAGACTTAAAAAATGAATTAAAAAGATCAATGAGGGGTGCCTGGGTGGCTCAGTTGGTTGAGCATCCAACTTTGGCTCAGGTCATGATCTCACAGTTGACAAGTTCGAGCCACACGTCGGGCTCTGTGCTGACAGCTCAGAGCCTGGAGCCTGCTTCTGATTCTGTGTATCCCTCTCTCTTTGCCTCTCCCCCGTTCATGCTGTGTCTCTCTCTGTCTCAAAAATAAATAAACATTAAAAAAAAACCGATCAACGAAAGTAAAAGATTGTTTTTTGAAAAGATAAACAAAAGTGATAAAACTCTATTCAGACGTATCAAGAAAAAAAGACAGGGTCCAAATAAACTAGCAGTGAAAGAGAAGCTATAACTGACACAATAGAAATACAAAGGTTCATAAGAGACTACTATAAATAATTACAGGCCTTCAAATCAGGCAATCTAGAAGAAATGGAACAATTCCTAGAAATACACAACCTTTGAAGAATGAATCACAAAGAAATAGAAAATTTGAATACACTGACTACAAGTAACGAAAATGAATCAATAACTTAAAAACTCCCCCAAAACCAAAAGCCCATGGCCAGATGGCTTCACAGGTTAATTCTACCAAACATTTAAAGAAGAATTAGTACCTATCTTTCTTGAATTATTCCAGGAAATGAAAAAGGAAGGAACACTTCCAAACTCATTTCACAAGGGCAGCATTACCCTAATACCAAAACCAGAAAAGTACACTATAAAAATTAATAAAAAAATTACAAGCAATATCCCTGATGAACATAGATACAAATCCCTAACAAAATATTAGCAAACCAAATTCAACAATACATTAAAGGCTCATAAACCATGTTTAAGTGGAATATATTCCAGGGATGCAAGGATGGTTCAACATCCACAAATCAATCAACATCATATATCACATTAAGAAAAGGATGTATAAATATCACAATCATCTCAACAGATGCAGAAAAAAGCATTTGACAAAATTCAACATCCATTTATGATAAAAACTCACAAATCAGATATACAGGAAACATACTTCAACATAATAAAGATCATATAGGACAGACCTGCAGGTAATATCATACTCATTGGTAAAAAGCTAAAAGCTTTTTCTCCAAATCAGACACAAGACAAGGATGCTCACTGTCTCCACTTCTATTCAACATAATACTGGAAGTCCCAGCCATAGCATTTAGGCAAGAGAAAGAAATAAAAGTAATCCAAATTGAAAAGGAAGAAGTAAAACGGTCACACTATTTGCAGATGACATGATACTATATATAGAAAACTCTAAAGATTCTACAAAAAAATTGTTAGAAATAATACATGAATTCAGTAAAGCTTCAGGATACAAAATTAATGTACAAAAAAATCTGTTGTGTTTCCCTACAATAACATACCATCAGAAAGCCAAATCAAGGAAACAATCCTATTTACAATCACATCAAAAAGAACAAAATACTTGTCCACTGATAAAACAAATTGAAGGAGACACAAATAAATAGAAAGGTATTTGATGCCCATGAATTGGAATAATTAACATTACTACTCAAAGCAGTCTACAGATTCAATGCAATCCCTACCTAAATTCCAATGGCATTTTTCAGAGGTCTAGAACAAATAATTCTAAAATTTCTATGGGAACACAAAAGATCCCAAATAGCCATAACAATCTTAAGAAAGAGCAAAGCATAAGAGACTCTTAAAAACTGAGACCAAACTGAGGGTTGATGGGGGTGGGAGGAGAGGGGGGGGTGGGTGATGGGTATTGAGGAGGGCACCTTTTGGGATGAGCACTGGTGTTGTGGGTTGGGCTTGAAACCAAATTTGACAATAAATTTCATATAATAAAAAAAAAAAAAAGAAAGAGCAACGCCAAAGGTGTCATGATCCCTGCTTTCAAACTATACTACAAAGCTATAGTAATCAAAACAGTATGATATTGGACGTAAAACCAGACACATAAATCATAAACCAGCAATAAGCCCATGCATATATGATCAACTAATATTACAAAAAAGATGCAAGAATATACAATGGGGAAAGGACAGCCTCTTCAATAAATGGTGCTGGGAAAACTGGATAGCTGCATGTAAAAGAATGAACTCAACCATCATCTGCATATATACAAAAATGAACTCAAAATGGATGAAAGTCTTGAATATGAGATGAATATGAGATCCAAAACCATAAGGCTCCTAAAAAAAAACCCATAGGCACTAAGCTCCTTAACATCAGTCTAGCAGTAGCTCAGAGATCTGACTCTAAAAGCCAGGACAACAGAAGGAAAAGTAAACAAATGGAACTGTATCAACTAAAAAGCTTCTGCATAGAAAAAAAAAAATCATTAAAATGAAAAAAAGTAAAGCCTGGGTGGTTTCAATAAACATCCACCTTGGACTCAGGTCACAGATCTCACTGTCTGTTTGAGTTTCCAAGGCCAGGTTTCAGGCTGCCTGGGAGCCCACTCAGCCTCAGCCTCTCTTGGTGGGGTTCCCCCTCTCTCTGCCCCGCCCAGCCTAACACCACCTCTGCCTCACACACCTTCTCTCCCTCTCTCTCTCTCTCAAAAATAAATAAAATATTTAAAAAAATTTAATGAAAAAGCAAATTACTGAATGGAAAAAGATATTTGCAAATCCTATAACTGATAAGCAGTTAATATCAAAATATATACAGAACTCATAGAACCCAGTAACAAAAAAACAATCTGGTTAAAAAACAGGAAGAGGATATGAATAGACATTCTTCCAGTGAAGACACAGAAATGACCAACAAGCACATGAAAAGATGCTCAACATCACTAATCATCAGGGAAATGCAAATCAAAATCACAGTGAGGTATCACTTCACACCTCTCAGAATGGCTATTACCGAAAAGACTAGAAATAACTAATATTGGCAAGGATGTGGAAAAAAGGGAACCCTTGGGCCCTATGGTAGGAATATAAACTAGCCACTATGGAAAATAGTATGGAGTTTCCTAAAAATATATAGAGCTAACTTATGATTAGCTACTGCTTATCCCCTACTGCTTATCTATCCAAAGAAAACAAAAACACTTACGCTAAATGATATAAGTCAGAGAAAGACAAACACAGCATGATTTTACTGATATGTAGACTCTAAAAAGCCAAACAGAACAAAACTAAAAACCAGGCTCATAGAAACAGAGAGCAGATTGGTGGTTCCCAGATGGGAAGGGGGATTAGGGATGTGAAATGGGTGTAAGGGATTAATAAATTCAAACTTGTAGTTATAATATAAGTAAGTCATGGAGATACAATGTACAGTATGGAAAATACAGTCAATAATACTATATTAACTTTGTAAAGTGACAGATGAGAACTATACTTATTGCAGTGACTATTTCTGCAATGTAAATAAATGTTGAATTACTATGTTATATACCCCAAACTAATAATGTATATCATATATATATATACATATATGGTGTATATATATGTATATATGTGTATGCATATATGTATGTATGTGTGTGTGTATAAATATATATGTATTTTTGTATACACACACACACACACACAATAACACTTAACTGAAGATTAAATTCTGCTAAATAATGAACATATTTTTGGACAACATCTCATTGAAATTGTTCTTACACCAACCACTCAAAAATGTCACATATCTTATTGATTTATCCTAAGAAAGTCTTCAGAGTCTAAAATTTCAATAACAAGTATTTTTCACTCACATACTTACATTCATTGATTCAAGGTGTCCTTTAATTTCTACAACAGGTACTTTGTGATACCAAGATGCAGCTAGATTCCGGTTTACAAAAAATTCCAAGTTAATTGGGTGTAAGAGCTGAACATCAGGATGGGAGATGCCTGGCTGGATCACTGTCCTAATGAAAAATATAACTGATATATATGCATAAACACAGGAGGGAAATGCAACCTATCATTAAAAAGACATTCAAATCAAAAGTCACTGCTCTCAATAGTGATTTGAACCCATGCTAGTTTTTTCTAATCTCAATCTATAATTCACTTTAGGGAAAGAGTAAAATACATGATATACAATGACCCATTAAGAAAACCTTTTTCTTCAAACATCAGGTCACACATGGATTAAATTTTAAAAAGACATTCATAATGTTGAATACATGGAGTAGTCATCAAATATAGTTGTACAAAGACTAATATATGCACTGATACAGAGATTAAAGAAAAAAAATGGCAAGATGAACAATTAGCATTTTCTGAAGAGTTTGATAAAGCTCTTCTCCAGGATTATTTTCTGGACTTGCCTTGTAATTTTCCTTTTTTATTAAGGTAATTAAATCTCCTTGGATAGGGTAGAAATTATTTTAAAATGTATTATATATAGATTTTCATGGGTCATCTGGTGGGAGCTCTACAGATACATCATTATGTATGCAGTATTTTGCCAAAAATACATAAGTTCAATTAAATCATGAAGAATCACTCAGACAAAACCAAATTAAAAGACATTCCATGAAACAACTAGATTGTACTCTTCAAAACTGTCTCATCATGAAACACTAAGAAAGACTAAAGAACTATTCCAGAACAAGTAAGTACTAGTAATATAGAAATCCCCCTCAGTAGTACAGGATACAATTAAATGCCATCCATATGTGACCCTTGATCGGGGGGAAAAATTACTATAATGGACATTATTGGAACAACTAGTAAAATTTGAATACTGACTCCATATTAGATGTTATTGCTGTATCCGTGTTAAATTTCCAGAATTTGAAAACTGCATTATGTAAAAGGATGTGTGTCCTTGTTCTTAGGGGACACATACTAAAGCATTTAGAGCAAGGGGTTAAGAGCAAATTCTATACTCATGATTCAGCAAAAAATGTTTTAACTTCCCATTATAAAGTAAGTAAGTCCTGGGAATGTAATGTATAGCAAGGTGACTAGTTAAAAATACTGTATTGTATATTTGAAAGTGGTTAAGAAAGTAGATCTTAAAAGCTGTCATCACAAGAAAAAAAATTGTAAGTCTGTGTGGTGACAAACGTTAGACTTATTGTGATGATCATTTCACAATATACACAAATAATGAATCATGTTACATATCTGAAAGCAAGACAATATGTCAATTTTATCTCAACTTAAAAATTAAATTAAAAAGAGGTTTTAGGGGCGCCTGGGTGGCTCAGTCTGCTAAGCGGCAGACTTTGGCTCAAGTCATGATTTCATGGTTCATGGGTTCAAGTCCCACATCAAGTTCTGTGCTAACAGCTCAGAGCTGTCAGCTTCAGATTCTGTGTCTCCCTCTCTCTCTGCCCCTCCCCCACTTGCACTCTGTCCATCTCTCTCTCTCTCCCTCTCTCTCTCTCTCTCTCTCCCCCTCTCTCAAAAATAAACATTAAACAAATTTTTTAAACATGTTTTAAATAATAATATGCAGACATACATAGTTAAAGCAAATGTAAACAACTGGTAAACCCAGGTAAAGGATAATATTGGTATCATCATGGTAATATTTTTGGAATTTTTCTGTAACTGTGGAATTTCTCAAAATAAAAAGTTGATTAAAAATTAAAGTATTCTGGGGGCGCCTGGGTGGCTCAGTCAACTGAGCTTCCAACTTCAGCTCAGGTCATGATCTCTCGGTTTGTGGGTTCAAGCCCCACAACGGGCTCTTTGCTGACACTCGGAACCTGGAGCCTGCTTCGGATTCTGTGTCTCCCCTTCTCTCTGCCCCTCACCCACTTGCACTCTGTCTCTCTCTCACTCTCTCAAAAATAAATAAATATTAAAAACCTTTTTAAAAAGTAAATAAAAGTAAAGTATTCTGTGCAACCGAAGCATGTTGGGTATGAATTTCAATGGCCACAAAATTCATGGAAAACATTAAATAACACTTCAATCCATAATTATTCAAAGAGAATATACCTAGAAAGCTTAAGCTCTGTTAGCTGCACATCCATTCTATCAATTACTGGAGGGTTTAAATAGTCTTCCCCAGACACCAGACTAAACTGGTTTTGAACTCTGATGAGCCCAAGATCTACCACCACTGCATTAGTGGAAACAGAAGACTGTGGGATGACTATAACTGGTGCTTTCAGATCAATATTGAGAGAAACACGAAAACTCCTCTGGGCAAGATCTTTCACACTTCTGGCAGCCTTTTCTGCAGCCTGAACAGTGGCGGCACTCAGAGCCTCTTTGGCTGTCTGGAAATTGTTGAGGAAGTTCTGTGGACACCAAGCATAAAAGGAGAAAAACAGAGGACAAGCACATCATTAATAACACCATCTTCTTTATTTCTGTGCTATTTATTTCCTATACATAACTTTCAATTGAGTCTCATTTATCTAGAATTAGGAAAAAATCACTGATCATCCATCCATATTTATGAGCCACCTGATAAGGGCTAATGTTGTATGGCTGAAGAACAGAGTGGGGCGGGGGCGGGGGGGGGGATATTTTTAGTATTTTTTTACTTGAAAATTTGGTTTCAAGTAAAATTTATGTTCTAGAAAAAATAATTCCAGTTCTAGACAAATTAAATGACTCAGATTTCAACTATTAAAGAGAGGTTTTAACCTCTATCTTAATATATAAATACCATCTATAATCAAAACAATGTACATCCTAAAATCCAAAATTTATAAGATCTGAAATCATAGCTATCAGACTTAAGTATTTCTAAGTTGAAAATCAACATATAAATAGTGACTTTTACCAGAAATGACATGAGGAATTTATGAAGATAAACAATCTGAATACAGCCAACATTCAGCGATACCACACCATCCACTTTGGACATGTCGGTATAGGAATCTCCTTCAGTGGCATCAGGATACAAATCCAAGTTAAAATGAAAAACTTCATTTCCCATTATTGACACAGCCTGAAAAGCAGAGATTAGAATGTATTCTGTTCAAGAGGGTAATGACAAAGTCTCATTTAAAAAAGGGCTTATATTTGGAGGGTATTTGTTGGGATGAGCACTGGGTATTATATGTAAGTGACGAATGACTGGATTCTACTCCTAAACCCAAGACTACACTGTATGTTAACTCGGTTGAGACTATAAATAAATAAATAAATAAATAAATAAATAGGCTTATATTTATAATCATTAGAGAAACAAACATTTGTGTATCAAAATATATTTCATTAACATTTCTTAAAATATATTTAAAAATAAAATCTCATACTCAATTATCAGAACATATTAGCTATCTATTTACTACACCTACTTTTTTATGAACTGTCTTAGGATCAACATCTGTGACAATAATATTTTCCAGTCTGGCAAACAGTGACTGTTTTCTTGACTGAAGACAAAGAGAAGAATCAAGGCCTGGAAAAAAAAATTATATTATTATAATTTCTAAAGACCTACCATAAGAAGACCTCAAGATATTTCTTTTTATTGCATAATTTCATTTTGGGGTGATTTTTAAAAAAACTTAACATTTATTTATTATTGAGAGACAGAGAATAAGCATGGGAGGGGCAGAGAGGTGGGGGAGACACAGAATCTGAAGCAGGCTCCAGGCTCTAAGCTGTCAGCACAGAGCCTGACGCGGGGCTCAAACTCACGAACTCTGAGATCATGACCTGAGCCGAAGTCGGTCGCTTAACCGACTGAGACACCCAGGTGCCCCTGGGGTGATTTTTTTTTTTTAATTAACTATGCTTGAACTCCCAACTGATAAATTAGTTAGTTGCAATGTTATACATTTTCAGTGTTATAAACAATGAAACCAATACATTCATTATAAATCAATTATCTGAAGTTTCAACCTTCTGAAAAAAACTACACCTAGAGCAAACAAATTATCTTGGGATTTTAGGAAATCTTTTAGATCTTATATCCAGTCATTCATATGGAAGCTATAAGTTTCATGAATCAAATGTAGACTAAAGGTAATTGTCAGCTTGGAAAGGCCAAAGAAAAAAACTAATTTTTTTCATTTTTAAGTTATTCAAGAATTTCATTAAACATTCTTTACCATTATCAGATCATAGTGAGCTGGTAAAAACAGAGTCCTATCAGTTTCAGCAGCTTTTGCCTAAAAGAACATAATGGGCTCATAGATGGGCTTTCTCTTCATCATAAGGTTCTTTTGCATTTCTACCAAGATAAAGCATATTCATAGACCTTGACCTGAAAACCAGACCCACATCCCAGCCCATTGATAGCATCTCTACATGGACATTAGGATCCCTTTTCACCTCTGAGACAACTCCGAGAGATTCAAAACACCAGTATTGTCGTTCAATTTGATGGTCAGATTCTAACCAAGATCTACATCCCAAAGAGCTAAGAAAATATACAATTCAATTATGTCATAAAAAAATTATCCAGTTTTCACAGCTCAGAGCCCTCCATTTGTATACTCTTTACCATTAAAAAAAAGCTTCTCTTTTAAAAAATTCTTAATAGTATGTGAACTTTTACCTTGAATCTTGATTTCAGCAATATTGTTCTTCTCATCACAAACAATGACACAGAAAGCATTCAACTGAGCAAATAGTCTGAAGTCAATAATGTCCCTGTCTTTAGAGGATACAATCACTAAAAATAAAACAAAGCATTCTATCACATGGGATTCGAGTAATTCAAACTCTATTAAGGTTTCTTGATTGTATTAAGTGAACCATATTTCTGTTTTAAAAAATTATAAAATTCTCAAGCTCTTAAAGATTTCAAATACTCTTTTTGCTTTACATCTTCTGTACAGTTTGTATTTCTCATACTGAGATGTTACTTTCATAATGCACAAGCAAGAAAAAAAACATAAAATAAATAAGGACACTGAAACTCAGAGAAATTAAATAATGTGCCTATGGTCATATAATTTAAGTAGCAGAGGCAGGATTTTGAACTGAGTTGTTTCTGATTCAAAATCTGGGCTCTTAACCAACTACATGCTATCCCTGTACTGTTACCCCCAAGTCTCTGGGTCTTACTACCTTATTTGTAAAATGGGAAGGGAAGACTAACCCTTTGTGGAGCTGATTCAGGACCCACTGAGAAGGGAGGAAAAGTTCAGTGTAAATACAGATCTTCTTCCCTATTATCTACCTACAGCATTCCCCACTACCACCAAAATAAGAAGAAAAACAGGTATTTTTTTAAAGCACCAGTATTAGTTACATTTGCCTTACACAGCAGTTACTCACATATGATTTTGTTTGAAGAAAAGCACAGAAGTGGGGAAAATGGCATGCAAATGGCCAAACTGGATGATCTCTACGATTCCCATTTACCTCTAGAATTCTAATATGCTTGTTAACAACAAGTGTTTTTCATACCTTTCTGCACACCTGAATTTTTTTGTTGCTTTTCAGCTGAAATTTGTACTTCTTTGGTATCACTTCTTTGGTCATCTGATGGGATAATGGTTGTCAGGTAATTAATAGAAGACAGAAGAGCTTGTGTTTGCAGCAACAGATTTAAAGATGAAAAAGCCACCTAGAAATTTTTCAAAAAGAAAGTTAGTTTTCCAGGCCAATTATAACCATAATTTCCATGATGGAACTGAAAGGCTTCTAGCTAGATTTACATCACTGCTTCCATAGCTTAGAAGGAACAGAGAGGAGATAAAGATTCACGACTCAGACTCCTTAGAGAGGAAATATATGGACAGTAAATTACACTCACACACATTGTGAATTCCCATGAGTAACGTAATTATTCTGTTTCCCAAATATAATTAACAAGAAACTTATAATCTGCTTGTCATGGCCATCTCGATATTCATCACGTATAGGACTTTTGGATCTTCAATGGACTTTTTATTTTGATTATATAAAACTTGAAAGTTAGATCATGAAACTCCAAAATCACCATGTGTTAATACTATGTCGAGAAATGATTTCAAATGTGAAATTCAGAGATTTAAAAGTACAATTTTTAAGTAAGTTCTCAATTACTAAATTATCTTCCAAAACCACAATGGTCCTATCATTTAAATATATATATATATGAATGTGTATAAATGTGTGTGTGTATATGTGTATGTGTATAAATGTGTATGTGTGTGTATATATGAATGTACATAAAGCTTTTAGGAAAAAAAGTGTTACATTTTTTAAAACAATGACTCCAGAAAGCTAAGATACCAACAAAAATTGCTTCAGTAATAATGTGGTTTTCTAATAGCAAATTAAAAATTCTTTAAAAATCTTTGCTTATATAAAAGAATTTCCTTTTATTGCCTCAAAGCACTAAGTGGATATAAAAATTATAAAAAGGAAGGTTCAAGAGGGCACAAAAATGCTGATTCGAAGGGGCACATGCACCCCAATGTTTATGGCAGCACTATCAACAACTGTCAAATTATGGAAAGAACCCAATGTCCATCAACTGATGAATGGATAAAGAAGATGTGGTATACATACACAATGGAATACTACTCAGTGATGAAAAAAGAATGAAATCTTGCCATGTGCAACAACATGGATATAAACAGAGGGTATTATACTAAGCAAAATAAGTCAGAGAAAGATATATGATTTTACTCATGTGTTATTTGATAAAGACAACAGATGAACAAAGGGGAAGGGTAGGAAAAGTAAGATAAAAACACAGAGGGAGGTAAACCACAGAGACTCTTAAATACAGAGAATGAACTGAGGATTGTTGAGGGGAAGCAGGTAGGGGATAGGTTAAATGGGTGATGGGCATCAAGAAAGGCACTTTTTGGGATGAGGACTGGGTGTCATATGCAAGAGATGAATTACTAGGGTTCTAGTCCTAAAGCCATGACAACACTGTACATTAACTTGAATTTAAATTAAAAATAAATAAATAAATAATTTTTAAAAAGGAAGGTTCACAATATTCCACAAATTCTCCCATCTCTCAAAAGTGTAACTTCAAATTCCTATCTCTGATTTTCTTTTTAAAATAATCCACAATTGGGGCGCCTGGGTGGCTCAGTCGATTGAGCGTCCGATTTCAGCTCAGGTCATGATCTCACAGTTCGTGAGTTCGAGCCCCGCGTCGGGCTCTGTGCTGACAGCTCAGAGCCTGGAGGCTGCTTCAGATTCTGTGTCTCCCTCTCACTCTGCCCCTTCCCTGCTCATGCTGTGTCTCTCTCTATCTCAAAAATAAATAAACATTAAAAATTTTTTTTTAAATAATCCACAACTACATTGTCTCCTCTTCCTCCATGTGACTACCTTAGTATGGTTTCAGATGTACTCAACATCTTCTTGTATTTCCCATACTTTCTCAGGTCTGCATTAAACAACAGTATCTAGTTTAATTTGTTGAAAACCTTGTTGGTTCTTTATAAATCAAAGTTCCATTGTCTATCGCATTCCCTGTTTTTAGAAATAATTAGGATGTGCTACAGGAAGTCAAAACACCAGCTCTATTATAATCAATGACAAACATAGAACATGGTAGGTATCTAGGAGGTTTATAACTTTTACTGACTCTTGATTATTTCATCAAATTACCCACCCAGTCATTATTCCTCAAAGGATACTGAAGCCTTCCACAATAAGTTGTTTTCAAATAAGATATACTCTTTTAATAAAATTTCTTACCTTAAGGGTTTGTTCAGTTTTTTCAAAAGTAGTTTGAAAACTAGGTCCATTCTTATCAGCCTAAAAAAAAGAATAGAAGCTCTGAAAAAAGATTTAAGACCAAAGTAAATAAATAACTTATGATCTCTAGTTTATTTTTTACATTTATTCAGAACTATAATTTTGTATATATTTAATTTTACTGTCATTGTTTTAAAGTGACATCCAAGTTATTTATTATAATCATGCAATTTTGTTCTCCTCTTCAAATATGACAAACATGGCAACGTGTACTTCTAGGAAACTACAACTAGAGACCAGAATTATAAATTCTGAAAGTTGTAAGGTTTAAAGGTCATCTAGTCCATCCATCACTTAATATATCCCTTTATATCTTTGGAAGACTATTTTAGGTTATCTCCATTGAAAGAAACCTCATTTTCTTACAAATTTAATCTTCAGAGAACTTGTGATTTAATTAGGCCTTGGTACTGAGTCAAAATTCTACCTCCCAACACAATTATCTATTGGTTCAAGTTCTGTCTCTTGGGCACATCCATAGGAAATTCATTTTTACATCTTGTGAGAAGACTTCTGCCTAGGCTAGCTTCTCTGCCTCCCTGATGCCACAAAGTCTTATGTTCTTTAAGAGAGAATCAATCACATTATATTTTAATTGTTATCTAACTTGTCTGTCTGCCTACTAGTCCATAAGTTCCTTGAAAACGACATGTTTTTCGTCTCTGTATCCCAAGTGCCTAACAGAATCTGACAAAGGATTCAATAAATGCTTGTTAAATGATTAAACAAATCAACTAATCTTGAATAAAGCTAAATACTCTTACTTCCTTCAGCATTTCTCATACAATATCTTTTTGAGTCCCTTCCCAATCCTGGTAGTTTTCTTCTGAACCCAGTCAAATTTGACTCTATCCCTTGTGATATAGGATACTCAGCCAAATGTCACCTACATTTACAATGAACTTAAGTAGGTAAATGTGCCCCAAGAGGTACAAGTTCATGCTACTTCATCCCAAGCTTCCATCTTTGGGGATAGGGAGTTTGGTGTCTTTTTCTTTTTTTAAAAAAAATTTTTTTCTTAAGTTTATTAATTTTTGCAGAGAGAGAGACAGAGCATGGGCAGGGGAAGGGGCAGAGAGAGAGGGAGACACAGAATCAGAAGCAGGCTCCTGTCAGCACAGAGCCCGAGGCAGGGCTCAAACCCACAAACTGTGAGATCATGACCTGAGCTGAAGTCGGACGCTTAACTGACTGAGCCACCCAGGCACCCCGAGTTTGGTGTCTTTTTACATCCTATTCTTCTACTTAAGTAAAAGAGAAAGTGTATAAATGAAAAGAGAAAAAATGGATATTCTTATGATTAAAATCTATGACACACATCTAGAGAATTTAGTAATCTGCTGTCATCTTTTTCCTTCCAGAGGACAATTTAGAGTATACAATAATTATGTAAACATTCTATGAACCTTACCTTAATATATTCTACTTTTAAGAGATCTAATCCAGGTTTATCAGAAGAGCTAATCAAGTGAAGGGGCTTCTTTTTGGATCCTAGATTAAAGAAAAAGAAGAAAAGTGTTTCAAATAAACTGTTCTTTCTAAGACTGGAATTTTATTTATTTATTTACTTACTTATTTATTTATTTATTCATTTATTCATTTATTTAGTGCACTCCCCCACATGAGCGCAAGTGGGGGAGGCGCAGAAAGAGGGAGAGAGAGAATCCCTAATAGGTACCGTGCTGTCAGCAGAGAACCCAACTTGGAGCTCAATCTCACAAACCATTAAATCATGACCTAAGCCCAAATCAAAAGTCAGACACTCAACCAAGTGAGCCAGCCAGGCACCCCTAAGATTGGAATTTTCTAGATCATTTTCTTAAAAAATATATTACTTAAGCTTTAAAAGCCTACCTGCACATATTTTCATGGTTATTTAATATTAATATCACTGGTGTATAAATAGACCAATCCAAATACTTCTCTTACCTTTAGCATCCAACTTACTTAAAAACATGCATATTTATTTTTATTTGATTTTACATCTATATTCAAAAATAATCAATACTTCTCTAGATATTTTTAAGGATATATGTGCATTTGTATGGCAGTAGAATGCTTACAAATTAAGAAATGAATTCTAGTTCATCTCTACTCTTACCAAAAGCTATTTAACTTTAGCTTTCTCAACTATATTGTAAGAATGAACTATAAAAATATGTAATATCCTATTGAGCTATAAAATTCAAAGAGCAAATATTTCATTCATATTAAAGAAACAAATAATTTTTCTCTGTTTATGGTAAGAGAGAAGGCTTATTTTACATAGAAAATTAAAGTACGTTGTAAGGGAGGGGAATTGCCAAATTTCTTTTAATTAAAAAACTACAGATACACTACCAGATGTCCTTTATGTCCTGAGGTAGATATACCAAAGGAAGTGTGTCAAAAAGCTGTGGAAGGAGAAGTGACTTATGCACCATTTTATCCGTCTTTTATTATTTTCAGTTCTGTAAGTCCTGCTCCTTCTGAATAATCTTAGAATTTTCCCTTCACCTTAAAGGTCATAACCTTCCCTAAAGGAAAAAATAGCCTAGCAAATTTTTTACATTCTCCCCCTCAAGAAAGTAAACTCCATCTTAACACCATGTTTACAGAACATTACTAACATATAAAACATTTTTCCTCTAAACTGAGATGTGTTTTAATTTCAACTACTAAAAAATAACAAAAATAGGACTTTATATTTGGCTAAAATACTAGTCAAATATAAAATGTAGATTCACCCAATCATTCCTCAAATATTAATGAGCACATAAACTGTACACTGGAGTAAACAAACGATAAGAGCTTCTAAAAGAATGAATTTTATGCCCCATTCTAATTCTTATAACCTACTGAGCTTCTGATATGTAAACACTATTCAATACAAAGAACAAGAACTTAAAGTTATAAGATCAGAGATAAATTCTAGGTTTTGCCATTCATAAGATGCATGGTCTTGAATAAGCCACTTAATCCCTTTATTTAAACTTCCTTTGTAAAATGGGAAGAATATTCCCTATACAATGGAGATTTATGTGGACTCTCTGAGGCAGTAGTAGATCACAGTAGTTAAGAATACAGACCCTAGGGCCAGACTTCCAGGGTTTAAACATGGTTCAGAGACTAACCAGCAGTGTGACCTTGGTTAAATTATATAACTGATTTACAGCTTAGTTTCCTTTTATGTAAATTGGAGATAACATTGTTATGAGGATTAAATGAGTTATTATTTGTAAAATCCTCAGAACAGTGCTAGCTATTATTTTTTTTTTTCAACGTTTATTTATTTTTGGGACAGAGAGAGACAGAGCATGAACGGGGGACGGGCAGAGAGAGAGGGAGACACAGAATCGGAAACAGGCTCCAGGCTCTGAGCCATCAGCCCAGAGCCCGATGCGGGGTTCGAACTCACGGACCACGAGATCGTGACCTGGCTGAAGTCGGACGCTTAACCGACTGTGCCACCCAGGCGCCCCACTATTATTTATTTAAAAATATTATTATATACACAAAAGTGTCTCAAATACTCAAAGTGAGACTATATTTACTATTAACCATTATTTCTATTTGTGTGGCTGTTACCTTGAATTTCATGGTAATCCAAGCTGATTTTCTTTAAATAAGATACCACAGTTACATCAAAAGTTCTCAATGTAGCCTCTGTTCCCAAATGAGTAACATTAAATACTAGAATTGTATCTTCTTCTTTCTGTTGTTTAGTAAATTCCAAAACAACCTAAAAGAATCAGGACACCCATTAAAAGCATGATAAATATTCTGAATCATGTTTAAAAAACAAAATTTTTCTTCATACATTTTATCATGAGAACAATAGCTCATACTTCTCTAATACCATAAAATTGTTTACTATGATTGGAAATTATACCTTAAATTCTATTATTCAGAATAAAACTACATCTATATAAAAATCATGATAAAATTTTACATCAATTATTGATTTACTTTTTAAATTTCCTTTTTTTAAACAGGAATACATGCATTCTTACTTAATATGATTTTCTTAAACCTCTATCTCAAAACAAAAATCATGTTTGTTGATTTAAAAAAAAAAAAGGCATTTCCATTAAAGTAAAAAGTAGGACAGTCTAGCTATTTACTACTACAGTACTGTTTAAATTTATTCTGGATATAACAGCCAGTATATTTAGCCAATCAAAACCAAAACACATATGTGACAATTTTTAAAACATAACAGTACTTTGGTACTCCATCCCAAGATGGAGAGCTTTGTCCACTACCTTTGAATTTCAATCAACAGACTACAGAAGCCACACTTTAATGACTGCCAATGATAAAAAAAAAAAAAAAAAATGCCCATAAATGTTTCACCTGGGAATGCACACTGAGGGGAAGCTAATTGGCATGTAAAAAGTTCAACTACCCCGAAACTGCCATGCTCAGGAGGCTATGAGTTGGTATTTCAGTCAACAGTCCCACCTGAGCTCCCAGCCACCAGCCAGTGGCAAGAGCCAGCCTCATGAGTGAGGCACTTCTGAGACCCTCTGAGACTTCAGGTCACTGTAGCTCCAACAAATATGACTGCACCACATGAAAAACTATACACAAAAATTACCAATCTGGGCCCTTCCACAATTCCTAACCCATAATACTCTGAACAAAATTAAACAGTTGTCTTGAAGTACTATGTTTTAGGATAACCTGTTAGGCAGCAATAATAACAGAACAACATAAATGATGAATAAAAGCAAAAATTAATATTATTGGCAGTGGTATCATTACACATTTAAGAAGAAATAGGGGTGTCAACTAAAGAGTAGAAACAATAAGAGACAATAGTAGGATACTCAGTGCAGAGTTGTTACACAAAAGTAAATTTCAAATAAATCAATCATTTAATGAAAGCAATAAAAACATAAAATAACATATTAAATTGTGGGTAAATATTTTTGTTAATAGAAGAGAATTTTCTAAAGATACACTAATACTAAGATATAAAGAAAAAATTTAATATACTTCAGTACAGCAACATTTAAAACTTCAGAATGACAAAAACATCAAATTGAGAAAAATATTTCTAACAGCACTATTTTTTCTTAGATGATGCTGACTGTTGATAATTTCAGTTCATTCATTCAATATTCAACAAAATACTTATTGCGCATCATCTACCATGTATGAGACCATCCCAGCAACTAGGGACATTGAAGTGACCAAACACACAAGGTTCTTGTCCCGATGGAGCTTATATCCTAGGAAGAGTGGGGAAAAGTCAGGGCTGCTATCTCGTATTGGGTGATCAGACCTTCCCAATAAGATAGCACTTGAGCAAATAGCTAATGGAAATAAAGAATCAAGTCATACAGAAAAACAGTGTTCCAGGCAGAAAGAAACCCCAGCAAGCACAAAGAATGTGCTCTGGTATACATAAGGAAGAACAAAAGCCAAGTGTAAGTTCCATAAGGCAAGAACTTTGCATTCGCTGCTGTAACTGCAGTATGTTAAACAATGCACTTCATGATGGCATTGATGAATATTTATTGAAGGGATGAATGAAATATGGCTGGAGCAGAGTAAGCAAGGCAGAAGAGAACTGAAAATGAATCTAAAGTCACATGGGGTGACCTATACAAGGTGTTGTAGGCCATGGGAATGACTTAGCCCTTTAATCAATAGAGAAGCCAGGGGACAGTTGCGAGCAAAGACATGACATCATCTTTCACTTTTTTTAATGTTTATTTATTTTTGAGAAAGAGAGAATGAGCAGGGGAGGGGCAGAGAGAGAGGGAGATAGAGCCCCAAGGCGGGCTCAAACCCATGAGTCGTGAGCCAAAGTTGGTTGCTTAAGTGACTGAGCCACCCAGGCATCCCTGATCTTTCACTTTAAAAGGATCACTCTGGGGGCACTCTGGATGGCTCAGTGGGTTGAGCTTATGACTCTTGATTTCGGCTAAGGTCATGATCTCAGGGACATGGAAACAAGCTCCGCATCTGCCTCCGCACTTGGAGACTGCTTGAGATTTGCTCTCTCGCTCTCTCTCTCTCACTCTCTCACTTTCTCTCCTTCTGCCCCTCTTCCCTGCCTGCACTCTCTCTCTAAAATAAAAATGAATAAAAATTAAAAAATAAAATGATCACTCTGGTTATCGTGTGGAGAACAGAGTACCTTACAGAAGCAGAGAAAGAATTATGAGGCTACTGCACTAGTCCAGGGAATATGGTGACTTGGACAGTGCAGTAGCAATAGAAGAGAAGACCAATCATTTGAATGTATTCTCAAGTTAGAGTCAGGGATTTTTGGTATTTTAGATGGGTATATGAAAAAAAGGCTAAATGGGTATATGAAAAGAAGGCTAAAGATAAATGACATATATTTCTTTTAAACAAATACCAGTAATACTTAGAGGGATTTATATACACAATTAAAATCTGGTATTTCTGACTTTATATTTTAGGACATCACCTCACATTGGGATAAAAAGCAGTCAATAAGAAACATCTTTTTATACCTCTGTGTTTTATTATTAAAGAAATGCATATTTACTATTAAGTATATTTAGAATATAGGGAAAAGCAAACAGGCAAAAATAAGAAATTATAATTCCTCCACACAGAGATGAACACTATCAAGTATGATCAAAGAAAAAAATGTATGTGTATGTATAATTTCTCAATAGAATCATAATGTCCTCGGTATTTTAATCTATTTTTGTTCCAAAATAATGATGTTTTGTGAACATCTTTTCATGTCAATGTTTTATTACATGACTTTTAGTGGCTGTAAAGACATGCTAAAAATCTAGGTTGTTTACAGTTTTTCAAATTATAAACATCACAATGAGCAATATTATTTAGCTTAAAAGTAAAAAAACATTAATGTAAACATGTCATAGAAATTTTCTATGGAAAAGAAAATCCCACTTAGGAATCTTTGAGCTTTTCCAGACTAGATTAAATATGGTATAGATCATTCTCATATCACTATTTACAAAATAACATTTCATTTTCCTGGAACCATGCACGTGCATGTGTGTGTCTGTGTGTGTGTGTTGGGAAGCAGGGAAGACAGAGTACCAAAATTTTAATATATTTTATGTTCAGATCTAGCATGAAATACTTTAAGAATAGTGATAATAGCAATATATTTATAAATGGATGAAACAAATATACATACCTCTTTAATTTCAAACTTCAGTAAAAGATTAATGAGCTCCTCATTTGGGGCTTCTGCAGCTTTTTTTAGTTCTGAACCTCTCAAACTTTTATCAGTCTGTGTCTCTCCATCTTCAGCATCAAAATATTCATCATCAGACTCTAAAGAAGACATTCATTTGACTTGAGAGAATGTCCAGAGAACTGCATAAAACACTCAAACTTAAATCTCTCAAAGGTAAAACTCATTTATAAGATATAATCTTCATATTCAGAATCAGAATATATGTCCAATCTTATTTCTAAGTCCCACAAAGTGACTCAACCTGATATATGATAATCATACATAAAGACCAAACCACCCTACTATTTTTTTCTTCAAAAGCTCTGTTTTTCACTTTAGTTCACTCATTCAATATTCAATAAATAATTACTGGGCATCACCCATCATATATCAGTCTGTATCAGCCACCAAGGGCACCAAGGTAAAGAGGGCAGACATGATCCTTGTCCTCATGAAGCTTATACTCTACTTCAAAGTTAAACAAGATCAGTTAGGCTAGAGCTAGGAAAAAAGATCAGGTAGAAATTGGGGCCAAAAAAAAAAAAATCTTATATAGAATCTTAAGCACTGTCTATCACAAAAATCCTGTAATTCAAATGAAGAAACTTGGGCTTAAAAAAAGGTGACTCAAAATGACACTGTTGGTTAGTAGCACAGCTAGAACTAAAACCAGTGATTGTTGTAACACTTTCTAAATTCCTTTATTTTCTGAAAATTTTATCTCTGTATACAAATGTATAGGCTTGGTTTAATAAAGAACATTTACTTTCCTTACCTGATTCTACTCCATCTAGCAACAGTGAAGTACTAAGTAGGTCTTTTGTCCTATCTGAAATAACAGGAATTGAGGATACCTGTCAAATACAAAACGTTTTTTTAATTTTTTTCAATATTTGTTTATTTTTGAGAGACAGAGAGAGAGCAAGCACAAGCAGGAGAGGGGCAGACAGAGAGGGGGAGAGAAAAACTGAAGCGGGCTCTGCGCTGACAGCAGTGAGTCCAATGTGGGGCTCAAACTCAACAGTGGGATTATGACCTGAGCCAAAGTCAGATGCTTAACTGACTAAGTCACCCAGGTACCCCAAAAAAGTTTAACATACTGATTTAACAGGATCAAATGTACATAAATGAGAAAAATACTGAAAAATTACAGAGTAGAGAGAGAGAGATGGACAGACACATACACACATAAGACACAAATCTTCCAACAAAGCACATTATGCAATCAACTAGCTAGTGTTTACTAATTATTAAGACTACCACCTGTATTTACAAGGGCAGACTATTTACTACTCTAGTAGATAAGTCTATCATAGTGTGTCATTTATTTGCTATGACAATATTAACTGTTCATCTATATTACAGATTCCTAGAGAATGATAACAACATTAGTTGGCTAAAATTTCATTTCAAAGTGGAAATCTAACATATATTTTATGTTGTAAATGTCAATTGCAAATAAAGTTATCTAGAATTTTTAAGTTTAATGGGTAATAAAATTATATACAAATTATATTTTGCAACATTTTATTTATTTATTTTTTTTTCAACGTTTTTTATTTATTTTTGGGACAGAGAGAGACAGAGCATGAACGGGGGAGGGGCAGAGAGAGAGGGAGACACAGAATCAGAAACAGGCTCCAGGCTCCGAGCCATCAGCCCAGAGCCTGACGCGGGGCTCGAACTCACGGACCGCGAGATCGTGACCTGGCTGAAGTCGGACGCTTAACCGACTGCGCCACCCAGGCGCCCCAATTTTGCAACATTTTAAAGAAGATTTATTTATCTATCTATCGATTTATTTATTTATTTATTTTTGAGAGAGCCTGTGTGAGCAGGGGAGGGACAGAGAAAGACAATCTTAAGCAGGCTCCATGCCCAGCACAGCCTTTTTATCACCACTCTAAACTGCAATGAAAATAGGCTTCGATTTTTATCTATTCAATGCCATATGCACTCTTGAACAGAATCAACAACATTAAACTTTAGGAGTGTATCAAATAAATGAAACCAGTCCTAAAAAATATTCAAAAACAAATTAGCACAAAGAAAAATGGAAAAACTCACCATATACACAAATGTAAAGATTCACCATTTTTATTATATCCAGTTACCTGTCTCTCTGGAGACTGTTCAGAGGATTTCTGTGGCAAGGGTATACTGTTAATCAAACAGAGTACATCTTTCATCTTCTGGTCAGAAATTCTCACATGCATCAAAGGAAGTCCCCCGGATACTTTCAATCTAAAAATACAATTCAACTGTAAGGTTTTAAGGTCCAGCTTCTTTCTATTATGGAGTGGAGAATGGATTGGAGAAGAGACTACACTATGGAGTCAAAATGACTTTGCATATGTTTTAATCTAATCAATGCCTCATTTAGTCAACACTGTCAGAGAATGAGAAATTCTGTATAAACCAGGTTTTCAGATAATTTCAATATATCCGTCTTAAGCAGCCAAACCTTTTCACGGTAACTAATTTTTATGAACATATTTTCAAACACAATTATCTAATTTTTAAAACCACTATACATACTCTACTTCCTGGCGTCACAGATTTTGCATTACATAAATCTAAGAGTATCTATTCCATCACTCTCTATTGCCCTGCCTTGCTTTACTTCCTTTTCTAGTATTTGTCAGCCCTGACATATCATATATATACTTGCCTATTTTATGTCTGATTAAAATATAAGCACCTGAGGACATGTTTTACTCACTGGTGAATCACTGCTGTGCTTTCATTAGTTGCCTACTTTTCAGCACCTGCTTCCACACTGCTTCCTTACTCAGCATAATGGCCTAGGTTTATTTGTCTCAATAGCTTTGTGGCAGCTGTTTGCGGCTCAGGAAGTTCTTTTTGGTTACTGTTTATCTTTGACTTGCTAACTAAGCTGTGAACAGCTCAAGTGGACAGATGCCTAACCACTACATGAAGAATGATTTTCTATATAATGCACAAGCCACTAATGTTCAAAAGAAGCCAGCTGGCTGTTGCTATCTCAAAATACTGAACTTTCTGCAAAAGTACTCTGTAAGCTGAAAGCATCATAAATATGTAAGATGTTTCTTTATCATTTGTGAAACAGTACATAAAACTAAAAGTATCTCAAATAGAGGGACTGGATTACCTTCTCACCTAGAATAACTACAAAGTTAGACAAAGTAAATGAAGCAATGGTTTAAAAGGCACTGGAAACCAGTCAACAAAAGAAAGATGAAAGATGAAAAACAAATGAGGGAAGACCTAGGAATACCCCAGCTTAGTGACTTAAGAGTTTGAAAATGTGAAGGGTCCAGTAAAAGTATTTCAAGAGAAATTTGTAACATTAAATGCCTATATTAGAAAAGAAGAAAGGTTTTAAATCAATGTTTTCCATTTCCACCTTAAAGAATGAGAGAAATAGGAGCACTTGGGTGGCTCAGTTGGTTAAGCATTGACTTCAGCTCAGGTTATGATCTCGCGGTTCATGAATTCAAGTCCCGCATCGGGCTCTGCGCTGACAGCTCAGAGGCTGGAACCTGCTTCAGATTCTGTCTCCCTCTCTCTCTGCCCCTCCCCTACTCACACGCTGTGTCTCCCTCTCTCAAAAATAAATAAACATTAAAAAAAATTAACAAAAAAAAGAATGAGGAAAGTAAAGTAAATGAAACCCAAAGGAAGCAGAAGGGAAAAAAGCAATAATAAGCACAAGAATGGAAATCAGTGGGAAAAAACAAACAAAAACAAAAACAAAAACCAGAAGGACAATAGAGAAAATAATCGATGCCAAAAGCTGATTCTTTCTTTTTTTTTATTTTAAAAATTTTTTTTTTCAACGTTTTTATTTATTTTTGGGACAGAGAGAGACAGAGCATGAACGGGGGAGGGGCAGAGAGAGAGGGAGACACAGAATCGGAAACAGGCTCCAGGCTCCGAGCCACCAACCAAGAGCCCGACGCGGGGCTCGAACTCACGGACCGCGAGATCGTGACCTGGCTGAAGTCGGACGCTTAACCGACTGCGCCACCCAGGCGCCCCAAAAGCTGATTCTTTCAGATGATCAACAAAACTTATAAACTAATCAGGAAAAAAGAGAAAAAGTACAAACCACTAACACAAGGAGGGAGAGAGATAGCATCACTACAAATTCTACATGTATTAAAAAGGCAACACAAAAATATTATGAACAATCCTGTGACAATACACTCAAAAACTAAGATGGACAAATTCCTTCCCTGAAAGACAAACTACCCAAGATCACTCCATCTATGAGATAAACTGAATTTGTAGTTAAAAACCCTCACCCCCACAAGAAAACGCAGGCCCAGATAGCTTCACTAGTGAATTCTACAAAACAAAGAAGAAATAATTCTATACAACTTCCTCCAACAAACTCACTTCATAAGGCCAACAATACCCTGATACTTTGATTACAAAATAATAAAAGCACAACCATCCCTCATAAATAGAGATGTATAACTTCATAACAAAGTTTTAGCAAAACACATCCAACAGTATTTTAAAAGAATAACATTATCACTACCAAATGAGGTTTATCTAGTAATGCATGGTTGGTTTAACTTCCAACTGATAACAAGTATCAACGAACTAATGATACACACATCATGAACAAATCTCAAATTAATTATGCTGAATGAAACCAGCCACACACACACACACACAAAAAAAACTGAAACTCTATGACTGTATTTGTAGAAAATTCCAGAAAATTCTAACAAATCTATAGTGTTAGAAAGAAAATCAATGTTATCTGAGGATTGAAGGGAGAGGAGTTAGCAGGTAAGGATGGGAGGGAGGTAAGACAGCTGACCCTTGAACAACTTGGGTTTGAACTCTGTGGTCCACTTATATGCAGATTTTTTTTCAAAATTACAGTATATTACCGTAACTGTATTTTCTCTCCCTTATGATTTTCTTCATAACATTTTCTTTTCTCCAGCTTACTTTTTGGTAAAAACAGAGTACAGTATATAATACATACGCAAAATATGTGTTAATCAACTGTTCATATTATTGGTAAGGCTTCTGGCTAAAGGGAGGCTTTTAGTAGTTAAATTTAGCAGGAGTCAAAAGTTATACATGGATTTTCAAATGAGGGAGGATAGGTTTGGGGTGGGGGCTGGTGCCCCTAACCCTCACGTTGTTTAAAGGTCAAGAGTATAAAAGTACACAAGGACTCTGGAAGATGATGAATGTGTTCATTATCTTGACGTGATGATGGTTTCATAGATATATCTATATCTATGTATCTGTATATCTTTATGTCAAATTGTATACTTTAAATAGATGTAGCTTATTGAATATCAATAATATTTCCATAAGGCTGTTTTTAAGAAGGCAGCATAAATATTTCCTAATTATCTACTTAAATTCAAAATTCAGTTTCTACTTTCACTCCCTTGAATTATTCTCATGATTTTACATGGTTTCATAATCATTAAGAGCCTCTAATTTTTTCTTCTACTTTCAAGTTTTTATTTAAATTCCATTAGTTAACATACAGTGTAGTATTAGTTTCAGGAATAGAATTTAGTGATTTATCACTTACATACAACACCCAGAGTTCACCACAAGTGCCCTACATAATACCCATCACCAATGTAACCCATATTCCTGCCCATCTCCCTTCTGGCATCTCTCAGTTTGTTCTCTTTCGTTAAGAATCAGTTTTCTAGTTTGCCTATCTCTATGTTTATCTGTTTTGTTTCTTAAATTCCACATCTGAATGAAATCATACGGTATTTGTCTTTCTCTGACTGACTTATACTCTGCTCCATCCACGTCACTAATTTTTGAAAACTTTATATTATTGATATTAAACCATGGGTTTGATCCACTCAACAACAGATAACCAACTTTTACACAATGTGAAGGTCCAAACACTTCTAAAATAAGAGAGGTGCAAACAAATATATATTTTTTTAATATTTATTTTTGAGAGAGAGAGAGACAGACCGTGAGGGGGAAAGGGGCAGAGAGAGAGCAAGACACAGTAGGCTCCAGGGTCCGATCTGTCAGCACAGAGCCCGAATCAGGGTTCAAACCCATGAACCATGAGATAATGACCTGAGTCAAAGTCGGCCACTTAACCAACTGAGCCACCCAGGCACCCCATATAAATATTTTCTTAAAAGCATGTTTGTGCTATATTATAATCTTTTTTTCTGTCCCCCAGAAATCTAGTTTTGCTTTCCTGAAATCCAGTAACTGATACAGATATATTTCACCCTGTTAACTTTATAATATAAAGGAAACTCATACATTACCTGGCCATTCTAACGTCTTTTTCTACCATTGCCTTGGCCAACTCAACATGAATATCCATGGGTTGTAATATATGCATAGTTGATGGATGCTGAAATCGACACTTTTTCCAGTTTTCCTCTTTAAAAATTTTTTTAAATTAAACAACCGTTAATCAGATGTTCTGTAGAAAATTACTCTAACTTATTAGAAAAGTTAGCAAACATATTCAACAAATACCAATTTTTACTTCTTTCAGCATACAAGTTACGTAACCTATATGTTTAAAGTAAGATTGACAGCTAATAATGTGACCACTTAATTTAAAATGTTTTGTAGTTAGAAGTAACACTTCATAATAAATGGGCATCTGTATTCACTTAAATTACTAAATAATTCTCAGTGAATTACTACTGCTGTAAGAATACTAAAATACTTTGCTATAATAAATGATTATACAATTAATATTAAAGAAAATAATTAAAATTCACCCATGCTCTAAAAGTGAGGGTTATTAATGACATGGAATTTCAGGATTTGTTCTTTCATTTGCCTACTCTAACATCATTTGATATCCTTTACCCTCATCCTAGGTCTGTCATTTCTACGCTATCAATCTGGCTTATCTGTTTAAAGGCTATAAAGGAACTCACAAATACTGATGAAGTACAGTCTACTGTGGGGAATAAAAACATAAAGGAAAAAATCAGTGGGAAAGAAACAGTTTTATATATAAATATGTTTATGAGCATTAGTGCATATGTGATGGGGGAACAGAGCAATCAAATGGCTGACAATTGATTAAAATAAGTAATGATACAAAAACAAAAAATAAAGATGGAAAGAAGTCAAAGACTGTGATATAAAAATAATTCTAAATATTTATTTGGAAAATGTTTATAAAATGTCTTGCATTTTAAAGCCAATAGGGAAAAAAGCTAGGAATTTTTTGCCTTGATTCCAGAATTAGTGATCAAGGTAGGTGGTTGCAGTGAAAAAGGGAAAAAAATAGAAAATGACAGAGGGAAAAAAGTTTTCTGGAGTTCCTTAGAGAAATTACACTAGTTTAGCACTTAATTCTGAAAGAAAAATGAGTTTTATCAAGCAAGATTTTCTGATAAAAAAGTATAATTATAACTTTTCACCAAATAAAAGGTCCCAAAGACAGAATTTCCAATTATCTTAACTAAATGTATTTTATCACTTATAACTCAATTATTATTAAGTACACACAAAAGAAAAGGCTGTTTTAATGATCTATGTAAAAGTACTTCCCTTCAAGGAATTAATAGGCTCATAATACATAAAAACTAAGTGTATTTATGTTTTAATAAATCTCTCCATTCCTACTAGAGTATACACTCTGCACACAGATATTATGATCTTTCTTCCAATGACCTACCACAAAGTGATACATTCAAGGATATTTAGCAATTATTTACTGCTTCAAGAAACTAAAGAAGTATGGAGAACCAGCGATCTTTACCTAAGCAGTAGAAAATACCACAGCTTTTGGTGTTTGTAATTAATTACCTTTAGGGTTTTAAAGCTATACCCATACTTGTCAGTAGCTACAAAAGTATAAGATGTGATACTACTAAAATAAAGACTAGGCTAATAGAGTTAAAATATTTTAAAATAAAGCACCAAAGGAATACAACATTGAGACATCCCAAAAGCACGAAGACAGAAAAACATAAGCCAATGGCAACTTTTATGCTCGTGTTCTGGGTAGTTTCAGCGTCAAATCACAAAAAAAAAAAAAAAAAAAAAAGGCAGCGGCTGGACTTAGATCCAAATGGTCCTAAGTACCTGAAGATGAATAGGCAAAAGTTTATCTCTATTTCTACCTGTGGCAATGATTTGTACTGATGGGCCCCTACTTAGTTTTCTTAAGTGACCAAGAAGATATGTGTTAAAAATATTGTCAGTGTTGATATACATGCACACATAGACATATATTTACCTAAGCTACTCAACATAATTTTAAGATCCTTCCTAAAAATTGAGCAATAGCTTACCTGCTTTTGCAAAGAGTAACTGCACACTTTTTATTTCAACATCAAATTTGTCATATGCTTTATCCATTATTTCTTCCAGAGATGAATTACTAGTCTTCTGCAAACCTTGATCTTTACTGTTAAGCTAAAAGGGACAAAAAAACCCTTCAATTTTCTTAACAGAAAAGTATATACATACTTTTGTTGTGTCTTCTTAAAACATAACTAAAATGAAAACAGTGTCCTTAAATAATTCACATTTTGCTTAATTTTCTGACAATTATTTGCAAATATTTTATTACGAATATAGTACTTCAGTAAACAGCTTTAATATGTTTAGATAATAGGTGGTCAGCATATTTGCATTTATTAGAAGATCAGTTACACAGCTGTGTACCTCAAATAACCTGTCTGGACATTCAACTCTTCCTGGCTCTCAGCAGTTACTGCCTCTTACAGCTCAGTACCCTACTACCTACCCAAACATCTTCACCAACACATCGCAGGTTTTTGTTCCTCCTTCTTCACATTACATCACCAGAAATAATTAGGCCATTAGAATTCAGCTCCAATCTCTACCTCCTTTCCCTCTCCCCAAAGGAAGCAAAGATCAATTCTGGACTGTATTTTTTTGAAATCTTCACTCTTTCTCAGATGCTTATATTTCTAATGGGTTCAACACCCAAAACCCTAAGAGTACCCTTTCACTACTTAATTGCTGATAGTGGCTTACCTGCATAATTTCCTACTATCAAATATGTAAATAAACAACACTGTGTGTGGAAATCTAGTAGTGCCTAGATACTAGGAGTACCTCTGTCCAATTAGAAAAATACAGCAGTAATCCACTCTTCAAGACCAAATCATCTACCATTAGAGAAAATTTTACGGGCTTTCTTTTTATTTAATAGCCATAAAGTATATATTAAATACTCAGTCCAAGCTAGGCTTGACAAAATGCTAAGAAAAAATAAGTCTAAGTTTAATTTCAGTAAACTCTGAGGGGAAAATCAGCCAACTATCAGACAGCTAGCTTCCAACCTGAGCAAAAAATGGGCAGAAAGAAATGGATATACACCTACCTGAAATGTACCAAAATCTAAAATGAGAAGGTCTGACTTTTCATGATGGAAACCGGTCTGTGGAAGTATTAGATAAGAAGGCTTCAGATTTATCCTTAAATCAAGGACTTTTCGAGTTTCAATAATATGTGTAAGTCCTAAAGAAATAAAAGACTACATGCTCAAGTTGAAATATGTAATTATATTATTAACAATAAAACAAGCATCACTTGAAAAGTATTATGGAGGAGTGCCTGTTCTCACATATTAGTGTATGTAAGGTGAAACTCCAAATGGCCGATGGCAAACAATCTTACCATCACACTATACAGTAAACCCATCATAGCTAGTATTTTACCCAGAGTGAATAATACATCATTTCTTTAGTTAAGCAACCATAGAAAGTAGTGGCTTGAGTTTAAAGACCATGTTGTACAAAAGTATGTATCTTTAGAACCAGTTTCACACGCAGTACACAGAATGATGAACTATTTCTTAAGAACTAAAGTGCAGGGATGTTTTCCCTCTCAGTTTCACTGTGAGGGACAGGTTCTTAAAGGTAATGACAGGATCACCTGTGCCCCATCTCTTTCTCATTCAGTCTAGCAGGTATATTTGACTTTGGGTAACTCAGGTACACGATGCAACTTCATGGAATTTACAAAAAGAAAAAACAGCCTACACTTTTAACTATGAAACATTTTGAATGTAGCTGATGTTTTTATGTAGATAAATTCTTTACCTGTAGCTGTTCTCTCTTTAATTTCTTCCAGCTTCATTAATGTAGCTGATGTTATTTGCTCAAGATCTAATCCTCTATTTGACTGAAAGAATTCAACCACTGCATTGATGGTTTTCTGTAAAATAATTTAAAATATAAGCAAGCTATACACAGTGCTTTCCATATTATAAATTTTAAAATTTCAGTTTAATTCAAAACAACTGTGGCTCTGAACTTAGAGGATATCTCCAAAGATACTCTGCCATATTGCATTTCTATCTGGAGTTTAAAGGAAAAAAAAAAAAAAAAACTAACTAAAAAAGGGAATAGCACAAGTAAGCTTACTAGAGAGTCAACAAATGTGTACGTATCATTAAGATGATGACCTTAAGTATGTTCTAAAGTGTCATACTGATGTAACAATGGACATTACTACTAAATTATACACTTAAAAATTGCCAAGATGGTCAATTATATGTATGTTACCACAACTTAAATTTTTTAAAAATCAGAGAATACAATGAGTCCGCGGTCTCAATATAATGCCTCCCATCCTCACTGTGAATACACTTCTAAACTAGAAAGTTAAAAAAAAAAATCAGAGAAATCAACAAGAGCATAGGGCCAACTTACAAGTGATGGGTAGTGATCCTAATCACTAGCCTGAGATGAGTTAAGAGCCTCTGAATAAAACATGCAACCACAGATAGAAACTTGAGCCAGCATCTTCAATAACATCTAAGTGCCAATGCTTTTTTCTCATGTGAACAGTATTTAAAATTCTTTTAATTACTCCTAAAGCAATTTGAATTGGTCCAGATATTTGGGGAAAGGGAAAAAGCAAAACCGAACTGGAACAGGAAGTCCACGTATAACTATCTGAGAGAAGTTGGTACAATAAACACAGACTTTTTGAATAGTATTTTAGGTTATTTTTACTTTAACATAAGCATAGATTAACATAGTAGGAAAAAAAGGTAGCATATGAAAAGGTAAAATTCACTGCTAACCATGTACTGCTTTTAAAACAAGAAAAAGTAGTAAACTTAGCTAATAAGTGTTAAATATGAAAGAGGAAAAATAAGAAAACCCTATGTCAGAAGTATAAGACAGGTTTGATAAAGACTGTCTCCTTGCACTTACAGCATCATAGATGACCTCCACAGGTTGAGACTGAACAATCAGAGTCTGGTCAGCAGTACTATTCTCTGGATTGGTTTCAAACTCAATTTTAAGCAAGGATGATGTAGTATCACCAATGGAAGCCACAAGTGATGGTACAATACCCTGCTGTCTCAGACCTGTTATATACCAGTGTTCTAATTTTGCTTCCACCCTATAATCCAGTGAAGAAAAATAAAAGGTATATATGTAAGATGCTGTAAAATGTAATGGCTTAAAATAGAAATTTCCCTTTTAAAAAAGTTCTTTCAGAGCCAGTACCATACCCATTACTAAGAGATAAAGCACAAATTCCTTGGCCTGGCATTTAATTATCCATACAATCTAGGGTTTTATTTTGATTGTTTGCTCTTAACCCCTTCTCATCCACATGAGAAGCCCACCTTGGCCAACTCCCAAACACTGAGGGAGTTCTGATCACTGCTACATGAATATAAGCTACACTTCACTCAGGCAACTCTTCTCCCTATTTCATGCCACCCAGAATACTATCAAAAGCTTCTCCTAGCCCTTTCTACTCAGATAGCTGAAGCCCCACTTCTCCTAGCCCAAGTTATTCTCTTCTGCAATTGAGCCGACATAGCCATTAACTATAAGGATTTGCAACACCTTCTCACCTATGAGCTCTCTGTTATATAGTTCTAAATTATTAACTTTTTAGTTATCCTCTCTTAACAGCTACAGCATAAGCTTCTTGAAAACAGAAATTTATTGTTCCTATGCTAGCCTTCACAGTATCAACTTGATAAACTAAACATTCACTATCTAAAAAATATTTGTGAAGGAACAAGAGGGGGTAAATAAATGGTGAACTCCTCACATGGCTTCATAACAAAACAAATTCAAATGTAAAAACACCATCTGACATACAAAAGGAAAAGAAACTGGAGAACTACTATTAATCAGTTGTTCAATGTTAAATAACAATATTTTTCAGTCAAGTCATATCTAGAAATAAAAACTGAAATAAAAAGTTTTTTTTAAACTTACTTAAGTGCTTGTGCTCCTGGTCGCTGAGATACTTGGGTGCCCAGGCCAATTATCTGAATTTTTAGTATTTCTGGAATATTTTTGTTTTCTCTTATTGTAATAGAGGTACTTACTAACTTCAATGTCATTATATGGGCAACATACTAAACAAAAAGAATGAACGAAGATTGTTAATAGTTTAAGTAATTATTATTTTCTTTAATAATTTCTCATTTAAATTTGTTGAAATATAAAGTGATCTAAATACAGTATGTTCAAAAAGAACATTAAAAAGTTCAATAAAGAATTATAAAATTGTTGAAATAGGACAATTACAAGAGATCCAAAATGTATTTCTCTTAGTTTTAGAATAAAAATGAAACTTGATAAAATATTTTGTCACATCAAGATTTAATTCACCAGCTCTCACTAAAGCAAGCTAATTCAGACCAATTCTCTGGCTCAAAAACAACAAAATATAAAGCACATCTTCTTGATGTCTTTGGAGGGTTAAAAATACATTGAGAAAAAAAAAATCATGACCAAAAAATTCATAGGTCAAGAATGGATGTAGGACAGAGAACCAGGGAGATGATTCTCATAAAACCACATAGGAAGACATTGAGAGGAAGCAAGGAACAGAAGATTCACAAAACAGTCAGAAAACAATTAGCAAAATGGCAACAGTAAGTCCTTACCTAAATGAAAAGTAAACAAATTCTCCAATAAAAAGACACAGAATGGCAAAATGGATTAAAAAATAGTAAGATCCAATAATATGCTGCCTACAAGAAAGACACTCATTTTAGCTTTAAGGACACACATAGACTAAAAGTGAGGGAATGGAAAAAGGTATTTTAAGCAAATAGTAACCCCCCCCCCGTCAAAAAAAAAAAAAAAGAGTAGTGACACTTATATCAGAAGAAAATAAACTTTAAGTTAAATGCTGTCAAAAGAGACAAAGAAGGTCATTATATAATGATAAAAGGATCTATCAATCAAGAAAATGTAAAAACTGTAAATACTTAGGCACCCAACACTGGAGCATCTAAGTATACAAAGCAAATACTAACAGAACTAAAAAGAGAAATAAACAGCAATATAATATTATTTGAGGACTTCAATAGCCCACTCTCAACAACATATACATCATTGCTGAGTGTCAATAAAGAAACAATGGGTTTAAACAACACTATAAGCCAAAGGGACCTAAAAGATATACATAAAACATTCCACCCAACAGCAGAAGAATAAACATTCTTTTCAAGCCCACATGGAACATTTTCTAGCATAGAACACCTATTAGGCAATGAAACAAGTCTCAAAAAATTCAAGAAGATACCATTATAGCAAGTATCTTTCCCAACCACAATAGAATTAAATCTTAATAAGAGGAAAGCTACAATATTCACAAATACATAGAACAACCAATGGATCAAAGAAGAGATCAAAAGGAAAAAAAAATGGCACGAGACAAAAATGGAAACAAAACACAAAACTTATGGTATGCAGCAAAAGCAGTTCTAAGAGGGACGTTTATAGTGATAAATTCCTATGTCAAGAAAATGGAAGATCTCAAATACAACCTAACTTTACAACTCAAGGAACCAGAAAAAGAACAAACTGAGCCCAATGTTATAATGAAGGAAAAAAGAAATAATAGAGATAAGAAGAGAAATAAATGAAATAGA